CTTTTGCAAAAAATATTTGTCAAGAAAACAAATTTAAGCAGTTGCCAGAAATCAATATTGAAGGCAAACATGCCACAAGCTGTATTTAGGCTTCTCTTAGGGACATAAAACATCCACACTGAAAAAATCCACAAAGGCTCACAGGAAGCAACTTTGGAGCAAGAATCTAGAACAGAGCTGTCAGACTCGCGGTCTGCGGTCTGGATGCATCATACACTGGCCACACTTACGCCCAGCTTAGCAAAGGGGAAAAAGTTGTGATACATCACATGACACCACCGTGAAGCTGCAAGTTTGACACCCCTGATCTAGAATAGGATAGCAAGATTTGTGAACGTTAAGTAAGTTAAGATCTTGGGTACAATGATCCTATTTGCCTATTATTGAGATAGTAATGCTTATTTTTAAAATAAATGCATCATCATATAGCATTTGGAAGCCTCAGATTTTTCTAACCAGGGAGGCAAGAATGTTATTCTGCCCTGGCCAAACCTTATGAGATTCTCTTTTCCCAAAAATTTAGTCCACGTCTTTGCTTTGCTTCATGGATTACTTTGTACAAATGTAGCGTTAAGCATAACCTTTACACAAATATTCATCTTCAGTGGTTATTGTCGTTATTATCATTATTTATTATTATTATTATTATTATTATTATTATTATTATTATTATTATTATTATTATTATTATTATTATTATTATTATTAATTATTATTATTATTGCTACGGAAGGGAGATATTCATTCAGTCTTCCCGAGCGTGGTGTTTCCCGGATCTGTGATTCAACAAACCATGCAGCAATAGCGGGAAACATGAACTTTCCCAGCCACTTTCTGGGAAAGGGTTAAGCTCCCGATTCCATATTCACTACCACACCAAGGGAGAGGCATAGCTATGGAGCAGCTGCAAACTCCAGCGGATTAATCCGTTGGAATGAAAACGAAACTGGCACGCATTGCTTCGTCTGTCGCAATTTCAGGGACATCCCCGTCAACCCAACGACGTACACAGCGTCCGTTGCCACTCTCTTAATCCCGGGCGTGTCCCGGGGAACGCAGCTGCGCTCTCGACTTCCGTTGTGACTTCCGAAGTAGAAATGGAGCTGTTGTCTGACGTCATCACCCTGCGTCCTCCTGGGCTGGATGTTCTAACCATCGCGGAAGCCGCGGCAGACTTGCTTAAAGTTATTTGCGGGTGGTATGGTGTGCGTTAGCCGCGCTCTCTTAGTCAGGCAGGTTAGTGAGATCTTAAAAGTGAACCCCTTTCCCCATAGCTCGTACCCCTGGGAGAAAGAGGAGGATTGGATGACTAGGGTTGGTCCAGATCATTGAACGTTTTCCCAGGTTCATTATAGTCTGCATGGGCTTGCTCTTGAGCTCCTCCCGTCTCAATCATTCCCCTCTCTGGTTGGGGACTTTGAATTTAAAGGGAAAAGTGAGTGGGGAAAGACACTGGGTTTGGTGGAGATGCTTCTCTTAAGGCAGCGTTTTCCCCCCAAATGTGGTCCTAGGACTTTTGTGGTGGTGGCACCCCAAGACCTTCTCGGGGTTTGTGGAATTATTTGCAGCCCATGTTGAAAAATGATATGTTAACCTCCCGTTGAACAATTTTGATATACAGTATTCGCAACCAATACATCATTTTTCATTTTTAATATGATAAATATTGACTGATGTAACCCATACAAACAAAAGCTCGTTCAGAGTCCTTCATCATTTTTATAAGTGGGAAGAGGTCCCATGGAGGGGTGGCAGTCTAAGGGTCATTGTCTTAGTAAATGTTCCTTAGAGTAAATGTTCCTTAGTAAATGTTTCTTGAGGCACAAACTGGCCTCAGCACACAATATATTTTGCCTACTGCACAATACGAACTTAGTCCTTATGGTCAGTTTATGATTTCAGTATAGATGAACTTAGAAAATTGGTAGTTTGCTTAAATTGATCAATTAGCTCATAATGAGTATGTTGAATGAATGAACAGCTAAGTTAAAAAAGAGCAATTGAGTTTTGTCTATTAAATTATAAAAATAAGAAATGTATGCCTCTACAGTTATGCTTATTGTTGGGATGTGAGTTTTAATTCTGTCAGTTTCTGGCACAATGTTTAACTTGACATGTTTCTGAAAAAGAAATTCACTGTATAGGACTTAATATGGCATAACTTTCTATAGAATTAGAGATTGCTTCATTCATTAATGGTCTAATCCTAAAAATTTTGATTTATGATGGTTTTTAAGGTGCTAATTTTATTTATTTTCTGTAGGAACAAATAAAGCACTATTTTTGAAGATAGCGCTTCACTGAGTTAGTGAAGACGAAATAGTGGTTGGATTTATACATTTAATTAAGTCGTGGTTTAGCTATGGTTAATCAAATACATTATTACTAATGAGTTTGTGCTAAACCATGTTTTACAAACCACAACATTATATTCAGTGCAATATCATAAATCTAATGTTTGATTGCCATTGTATAGATCTTATTATCTATAGGAATATACTTGTTCAGATTTAAGAAGAGAAAATACTTGATAATTTCCACAACCTGTTTAATTTTATATTTATTTAAAGGAGTCTTATTCTGCTTTTCAGCAAAATCAGCTTTCACAAACAGATAATACATATGTTGTGGTTTGTAAACCAAGATTTAGCACAAACCCACTAATAATATCTTATTTGATAAACATAGCTAAAGAAACCACTCTTTAATAAAATTTATAAACTATTTTGTCTTCACTAAAACAGTGAAGTGACATCATCAAAAACAATGCTTTATTTGTTCTTACAGAAAATAAATAAAATTAGCAACATTACATAAGAAGTATTGTGGCTTATATTATAACATGAAGAGTTTCATTTAAGGTACAGGAAGTCATAGTAACAGACCACCAATGCTCGGTACATGTCTTTTTAATAATACATTGCAATTTTGTTGGTCTGAGGTATACATGTTTCATCTATTAACTTTTTCAGTATGGCAGATTTATGGATGATCTAAGGATCTATGTGAAAGGTGGAACTGGTGGAATGGGTTATGCTCGCTTAGGTGGTGCTGGAGGAAAAGGCGGTGATGTCTGGTTAGTAGCAGATGAAAAAATGACCTTGAAGAAAATGAAAGATAAATATCCAAAAAAGCGGTTTGTAGCAGAAGCAGGAACCAACAGTAGGTGAGGTCTTTTCATTTACTGAAAATTCATGTGGTCCACAGTCCTGTCCTAGGAAACAGTCATGTGATGTTTATTTTTTGATCTCCCAAGTATTGCTGCACTGAAAGGTAATAAAGGAAAAGACTGTGAAGTAAATGTGCCTCCAGGAATAATTGTTACTACAGAGAATGGGAAAGAACTTGGTAAGGATCTTTGTTAATCTTACCTTTATTGCCATGTTGAACATAATAGCAGCTGGGATGTCTACTTTGATTTTTCTTCATGCCAATTTTTTTTTAAAAAATACTGCAGGGTAAAATTACAACTCCCAACCTTCCAATAACATCTTGAAGACTTAAGCTGTGTCACATGTTTGTTTTTTTCTGCAGTAAATAACTAATGGCTTTGTCTACCTTTTAGTGACCCAATGAATGCAACATAAATGTAATGTTTGACTGCCATTGCAGAAATATCATGTATCTATTGGAATTGTCTCTCTGTGTGTATGTGTGTGTGTGTGTTCTGATTTAGAAGCAGAAAATAATTGATAATTTTCAGAATATGTTTAATTTTCTTATTTATTCAGAAAAATCAGCATTCAAATAGTTACTAGAGCAAATATTAATGGTTACACTCTAAAGGATATGAAATAAAAGTAAAGAATAGAAGGGAAGAAAAATAAGTGTAGGCATTTTTGTTCTTAAAATTAAAATTCTTATAAGGTCATGAACAATCTGCTGGGAATAAAAGCTAGGTAAAAGCTGTATGAAGTGAAAGCCATCTTGTAGCAGGGAATAGACCAGACTTGTCACTCTAGTACAGGGTCCCTAAACTCTGGGCCACAGTCCACTACTGGGCCTTGAGCTGTTTGGAACCGGGCCACCAAAGTGGTGGGCATGCACGCACATCCTACTTGTGTAAGCAGCAGGAAAGCACATGCGCACACACTCAATTTGCATGAGTGACAGGCACACGTGCCCATTACTTAAGAAAATACATGTGTGGAACTGCTCTGAGCCCCTGGCATCCCCGCCTTTCCACTTTCTAGCAAAGGTGGAAAGGTTTGGGGAACTCTGCTCTAACATATGTTTGTTAATTTATTTCTACTTTTATTTGTTACGTTTTATGTTCAGCTCAATGGAATGTAAACATTGAGATACTATCATATTGAGCCTGACTCCTGATTATTATAGGGAAAAAGGCATAAAGGTCTCCTGGCAAAAACTAATTTAGCCTTTACCTCTGATATTACCTGGTAATTTCAGATTATTCAGATGTAATGTGAATGTATTCATAGGACCTTGAAATGTACATTCATTCATAGAAGCCTTTTGTACTGTACATTTTCTATTCAATGTGTTCACCAAATATGAGAAAATCTATAATTTATAGCTGATTAATACAATTATTTCCAATAATACAATTATTTATTTGAATTTTAAAAATGCTTGTCTAAAAACACAGTATGTTGTTGAAAAATGCCGATTAAAATGATGCCCAAAAAAATCTTGACATTTAATATTTATGTTTAGGTAAGCTTGACAAAATAGGAGAAAGATTGTTGGTAGCCTGTGGAGGTATTGGTGGATGTCCTGTAACAAATTTCTTGCCCACCAAAGGTCAGATTCACACGATACATCTTGATCTAAAACTTATTGCAGATGTTGGTTTAATTGGGTAAGTTATTTATCTTAAAAATTATATTTTAAAATCTCAGTAATTGATGTAATTTCCTTTGTACTACAAATATTATTATTAATTCTAGCTTTATTTCAAATCGACTTAACTATTCATTTACCTCCAGATGCTAGAATCTTTCCTCTTGCTTTCTATTTCTAATTAATTTCAGAACAATAGAGAAAGGATTGAAATCTGTAGTTTAGTTCATATCCGGAAAACATTTTGTAGATTTGAAATGCAGAAGGAAGGTCAGAAAAATATATTTGCTTTGCTTAAAGTTGAATTTTTTTCTTCATTCCTGCAATTTCCAAGTCATTTCCATTCATTATTAGAAAATATTTACTATAGTTAAAAAAAATTCATTGACAATTCAATAACTTTGTTCTGTTGTATGTAAAAACTCTATAGTAACATTAAATAGTAATTTACTCAAATCTCATTTTTCTAGATTTCCAAATGCAGGAAAGTCCTCTTTATTATCTAAGATCTCTCAGGCCAGACCTCAAATTGCAGATTATGCTTGTAAGTAACTTCATATATTTATTTATTACTTATTATTAAATTTATTTTCACCTACTCTAGGCCAGGGGTCGCCATCCCCTGGGCTGCAGCACCTATTGGGCCATGGCCAATTCGGAATTGGGCAATGCAGGTGGCCGGCTGGATTGTGCATGTGTGCGCAACTCAGCTTTCACAAATGATGGGCCATTGGGCTCATGCACACCAGCACTGCTCACATAAGTCAAGCTGCATGCTGGTGCACAACTCGCACAAGGGCTGCGTGCCACCCTCCCATTTGCGCAGCCCAATTCCCTTTTCCACACACACGCCCAACTGGACCTCCAAGCTGTAAACCTTCGGGGACTGCTGCTTTAGGTGGCTTACAACAATAAAAACAAAGAAAGGATAAGGGTGTAAACAAAACTGAAGTAAACCAATAGAACAATAAAATAAACAAAAAGAAAACAACATGTTATGACAATCAAAACAATAATCAAAGAAATGGACGGGTGAAGAGCAGAGAACAATGGGGGAGATGGAGTCTGCCAACAATCCAGTAGCCACCTCCAGCAGAGCCAGGTCTTTAGAGTCCTTTGGGAGGATGGGGGCAGATATTACCCTAGGGGGTAGGATGTATCAAAGAGAGGGGTCTATGGTAGAGAAGGTTCTTCTGGATCCCAGAAATCAGAGTTATTTGACCAACAGGATCTGTAGTAGGCCCTCTCTGCTAGCAGGAGGAGTAGGTTGGTCCTAGCAGGATGAGACAGTTCATCAGGTATCCTGGACCTATGCCATAACTTTCCTGCCGAGAAACAAGTGTCTTTTAATTTCATGGCTGCAGTCACTCTCTGCAGTAATCTTGGAGCCCAAGAAAATAAAATCTGTCACTGCTTCCATTTCTTACTTTCCTTTTGTCATTAAATGATGGGAGCGGATGCCATGATCGTAGTTTTTTTAATGTTGAGTTTCAAGCCAACTTTTGCAACCTATCTAGAGATTCTTTAATTCATTTTCATTTTCAGCCATTAGAGTGGTATTGCCTACATATCTGAAATTGTTGCTATTTCTCCCAGCAATCTTAATTCTGGCTTTTGATTCATCCAACCTGGCATTTCACATAAGTTACATAAACAGAATGACAGCCTTACCATGCTCCTTTTGTTATTTTGAAGCAATTAGTTGTTCCATGTCTGGTTCTAACTCTTGCTTCTTGACCCACATACAGATTTCTTAAGAGACAGATCAGGGGTGGGATCCTACTGGAATAACAGCCGGTTCGGTGAGCGCGCGCTGTGAGCGCATGCGCAGTACTTGTTAATCAACTTCTGCTGCAAGCAATAACCTTCTGCTGACACATGGGATTCAGCAGGGAATAAAGGACAGCCTAGAGCCCAGGTGGGCGGCTGGGCCCAACCGAAGCAAAGAAGATCTTCAGAGTGAACTTGTTCAGTGTCAGCTGCTCTTCGGAGCTACTGGTTCTATAGAACCGGGCCAAACCGGTAGAATCCCACCCCAAGACAGATGAGGTGATCTGATGCTTCCACCTTTTTAACACCCTGACAAAGTTTGTTGTGATCCATACAATCTTTAGCATAATCACTGAAACAGAAGTAGATATTTTTCTGGAACTCACTTGCTTTCTCCCTAATCCAATGAATATTGGCAATTTGATCTATAGCTCTTCTGCCTCTTTGAAACCCAGCTTGTAGGTCTGGTAGTTCTTGGTTCACATATTGCTGAAGCCTAGGACTTTGAGCATAATTTTGCTAACGTGTGAAGTGAGTACAATTGTACAGTAGTTTCAACATTTTGGGGGATTGGAATGTAAACTGATCTTTTTCAATCTGTGGCCACTGTTGAGTTTTCCAAATTTGCTGGCATATTGAGTGCAGCATTTTAACAACATGATCTTCTAAGACCTTAAAGGGTCAGCTGCACCGCTTCCCCTGGCTTTGTTGTTGGTAATGCTTCCTAAGATCCACTTGACCTTACACTCCAGGATATCTGGAGATCAAAGTGAGTAATTCAGTCTTCTGATAGCTTTCGGACTTGTGCTACAGCTCATCCTCAGAGAACTTCTGTCTCACACTGAACAGATAAATTTAATCCAGGGGTAAATTTTGAAAATCCTTTATATCACATTTAACTTATTTCCTTTTTTGCACAGTCACAACATTATCTCCTGAAATTGGAACTGTGATGTATCCTGATCGCAAGCAGGTTGGTTTCTAATACAGTTTTTATATAAAATATATTGTAGAAATCCATTTTTGGCAATGTTAGGAAATCTCACTTTCTTATAACGGAAAGAGTGCTTCCAAGATATCTGTAAGAGCATTGCAAATTTCACATGCTTTTCCAGGTCCCTAATTAAGGCATAAAGAGGGCCTTGATGTGTGGCAATGTTAATCTGTTTTTTATTAATCTCAGATCTGCAAGCCTAAACATTTTCTGATTACCTACACAGGCCAAAGCAAAATTCCAAAACTATTCTTTTGAAAAAATGTCAATATTACCAGTATTTTACTAAAGATCTACTATTTGTCCACCTTACTGATTTCCTGTTTTTTATAACTGAATCAGTATACTACCAACAGAGTAACATCTAAATAAAGAAATGAAATATTTATTCTGATCTTTCTAATAGGTTACCGTATTTTTTAGAGTATAAGACACACTTTTTCCACCCCCAAAAATGGAATGTTGCTGAAGCCCTGCCACCCCCACCCTTTGGCCTGTGCCTCACATCAATTTACCTCCTTGCGGCAAACAGCAAACAGCCTGGTCAGCTTCAGCACAACCAGCTGATTGTCGGTTGGATCAGCCTATTGTCGCCTCTGCGCACCCCATTTTCTGCCCGTTCTGATCTCTGCTGCCTGGAATGGGCTGAAAACGGGGCATGTGGAGGCTGAAAACTGGATGTAGAGGCCGAAAATGGGGCATGTGGAGGCGGCAATAGGCTATGGCAATCCCTGCAGCCTGAAACAGCTGATTGTCGGGAGGCCAATGCAAACGACGATCAGATGACCAGGCTGTTTTCTGTTTGCTGCAAAGAGGCAAATTGCTGAAAGGCAGAGGCAGAAGCAGATTTTTTTTTCTTATTTTCCTCCCCAAAAGCTAGTTGTGTCTTATACTTCGGAGCGTCTTATACTCTGAAAAATACGGTAATTTTTGTATCTCTTTATGACTCAAATTGCCTCTTTGTGTGCTCCACAGATACAGTCAGCAGGTTTAGTAAATATTTGTGAACATAGACAATATCAGGATGCATTATACTAAAGAACCATCTAGTCTGAGATTCAATTCTCTTAGTGGTTACTATATACCAGCATTCCCCAACTAGGACATGATTGTAGTAGCATTATTCTTCTCAAGTTCTTCAGTAAGAAATAGCAGAGTGTTGGAAGTTGGACTGGACAGGCTGTGATATAAAGCTTTGATAGTTGTAGTAATACATAATCATGATGAGAAGCCATATGTGCTTATCCATTATGATAATTTCTTTCAAAATAAACATTGTTAAAGTATAGAAAATGAGTAAGGAATAGAAAGGAAGTAAAAATAACTCTCAACACATCTCGACATTAATTGTTTGAAAATCCTTGCTTCTATACATCCATGTCCTGTTACGTATGTTGTCCTTTATAAAAAAAAATCATCTCTTTTTATGAAGGTTTCATCAATTCCATCCAACCACATCTCCTTAGTCTTCCCATTTCTCTTGATCCATTCAGTCTCCGTATATTTGTTTTATGAATTATCAACAATTGTTAAGTCTAGGCGCTATATGGCAGATACCTGTTTGTTTGAATTCTAAAATCCCACTTTAGTTTCTTAACTATTTCTATTTTGTGGTCCCGTCAGTTATTGCTTGCAGGCAAATGATATTTCTTGCAGATATTCCTGTGTACCATTGTCGCTACTTTATCATGCCATGGTTTGCAGTCAATTTGCAGCAGCTGCTGTTTCTTCGGCTCATTTGCAGATATAGCATTTGCTGCCTGTTGCTGTCTATAAGAATTGAAGATACAGAAAAATTCCAAACAAAGCACTCCTGTCGCTATACACTGACCTTTCTTATTTACCATACAGAAGACTCAAATCTAGAAAGCCCCTCCTGGCACTTACACAACATCTATTCAATAATTTTGACATCAATTCCCAATGGAAAGCCAAATCGATTGCTGAATGTCCAGATTTAGGAAGACATACTGTATAAATGACCACACAAAAAAGATGCTAGGCTTTGACTACCATGCCAGCAGTGGACAATTCTGAATAGGATTTGTACCTCACACGGTGTCTGCTGAGACTTATTGTATAAATGAAACATAGTACCCTCCCCTCAGTGGGACTGTGGGGTTCCATGTCAAACTGTAGATCACATTGTGACCAGCTATAAGCTGAGGGCATATACCAGTCCAGTATTTTTTTTCTTATAAATGATACTGCATTTGAGTGGTTAGATGGCCTAGACATTGGTATCTGAATATATAACTTTTTAATATTAATATTTTATTGTGTTTTTTTTATCTTCATTGTTCAACCTTCAAAGACCCATCCTATTTGTTTAAAGAGAATTCAAATAAAACCATTTTCTCACTGGAAGGATTCTTATAATTAATCCCAAAATTGTATTTCAAATCCATCTAGACCCTTAGTTCATTTGTTCATTTTTTAAAATCAAAGATCTAATCACACTTTTGCTGTTTATTTCAATTTTTTAAAATTCCTTAAACTTATATATATTTAAAATTTCTTTCACTAAAGATTGAAGGAAACACACTTAGTGCAATAAATGTGTGAATCAAAAGGTTCCTAATGAAAGGCAATTAACAAGCATTTTCCAAAAAAAGAAAGTATTTAGTTTCACAAAGTTGAATATAGGAAAAAAACAAGTACAGGCAATGAATATTTGTCTGCATATATTTATTTATTAAATTTTTATGCCGTCCATTTCCCCAATAAGGTGGCTCTAGGCAGTCTACAAGTTATGAAACAAATAGACAAATAATTAAAATATTAAAGCATTAAAACTACATAGGTTAAGATTTTAAAGCTACAGTGTTTAAAATTATATTGTTATATAGTATGTTATATATGAGTGCTGTTTTAGCTTCTTGTTATTTGGGGGTGAAGAATTAACCATATGAAGTTAGTTTCCTAGCTTCCTAATTATTTTGTTATCTCCGAGTGAATTCAACAGACTCAAACCATTTTAAAAAGATGGTTTTCCTTCTCTTTAGATAACAGTTGCTGATCTTCCAGGATTAATTGAAGGTGCCCATGCAAATAAAGGAAGAGGCCATAAGTTTTTGAAGCACGTGGAAAGGACTAAACAACTTCTCTTTGTTGTAAGAATACATTCCTTGTCAGCATTTGCATTCCTAATTTAGGCTGATTGGCCAACATACGAATTGTGTTTTTGTGTATATATTTGTATATAAATCAACTTATGGATAAACAGCCTCAAATTTTAAACAAAGTACCATAAAGATGCATACCAGCTTATGCACAAGTGACACATTTTTCATTATGTTTGGGTTAAAAAATTGAGGGCCAGCTTATCTGCAGAATATATAAAGTTGTTCACATCATGTTAATCTGTTACCTATTGTTTATTAAACCATACTTTGTTGAGTTAATACTATATCTTAGCCAAAACAGAACCTCCCATAATTTTGGCAAAGCATAATGTCTGAACTTCAAACGAAAAGCAGTTCCCAAGATGAAATACTGAAATATTTTCATGAATACAGAACATTGAATGTATGGATTCTTTAATATTTATGGCAATTCACTTTTGAAATTAAAGCTTGGAGTCTCCTAGATTGCCTTTCTAAATGCTGCTGAGCAATCAGTTTAAATAGCAAAGGAATAATTGGAAGTGAAATTTTTAGTTGACTTGGGGGGGCGGGGGGGGCGACGACACTTGGGATTCAATTTCTACCAGATCTAGAATAAGACAATAGCCAACTATGTAAAGAAATTTCTATAAAAAGATGTATGCAGATATAATGGAACACAGAAAAGTATATAAATTATTTAATGGTTTCAGTAATTTAGAAATGTTAAAGAGCTATTTTCTGAAATTGTGCTTTGTATATAAATAATAACCACATTATTAACTTTTTTCACTTATACTCATCATTTAATAAAGATAACCATCTGAGTGAAAATATTTGTTATTTTTTAAATTTAGATTGATGTGTCTGGGTTCCAACTTTCTTCTCATACACCATTCAGGACAGCATTTGAAACTATAATGTTACTAGCAAAGGTAAAATTACTGTCCATTTTATGTTGCAATATTGAACTATATATAGTTTCATGATAAAATATTTGCATAATAAATCTCTTGAAATTATCATATTGAGTTTCAGTTGTATTATATGTCTGGAGGTTTCTCCCTGATATTTCTAGGGACAGGTGATAATAAAGATGTTGGGATAATTTGTCCCTGGAAAGTCTGCATACCTCAAAGCAGTTTAGCATGTTTTATTTCAATATAGATAGAAATATTGTTTTCTATTGACAGTAGATTTTGGATGTGGCCTCTAAGTCAGAGAATGGCAACAATTGTGTAACCAGATTTCAAAAGTATATCATCACCATATTCCCATTTAGTTGTGTTCAAATCTTGGTGACTTTATAGACAAATGCTCTCCATGCTATCCTTTATACACCTAGAAGTATTCTTCTAAGTCAAGGGTCTTCAAACTTGGCAAGTTTAAGACTTGCAGACTTCAACTCCCAGAATTCCTGAGCTAACATGACTGGAGGAGGAATTCTGGGAGTTGAAGTCCACAAGTCTTAAAGCTGTCAAGTTTGAAGATCCCATTCTAAATGAATAAAAAATGAAACAAAAGGCACCTTGACTTTTTTAATGTTTTATTTGGGTGTGCCTTTCACTGCCAGTACAAAACTAAAGTTTCATATTCATGGGGTGAACTAAAATATATAATTATGCAACTGCCTTAATATTATACCATGCTTATGTATGTTAAGTAATACTGAATTGCTTAGTAGTCAAATAGTTTCAAAATATTTGTATGTATGCAAATTATATTTGAAGGAGCTGGAACTGTATAAAGAAGAACTTCAAACTAAATCTGCATTGCTTGCTGTGAATAAAATGGATTTGCCCAATGCTAAAGAAAATTTTGAAAAGTTAATGGAACAATTACAGAAACCTCAAAGTAAGATTCACTTTGACCAGTTCCTTTTAAAATAAAGAGTAGTTGTATGTTTTGGATATAAAGTATCAACAATAATTGATAATTGTGAGAATTGTGGCTTCTCTTAAAAATCAAAAATTCATAGCAAGATTTCTAGTAGTCTAAATAATTGTGGTGCAAGAAGGTAAAATAACAAAAATATTTCTATCTGCATCATAATGAATACACAAAGCCATTACTGCTTGGTGGAGATGTAGTTATCCCAATTTCAATTGAAATTATCTTCTTGAAGCATCATCAAAATCAAATATATATTACCATCATGCATTGGCCTTCTTTTCCTTCTTTTTGTCTTAGAATTGAAATATTAGAGAATATAATTACCTTCTTTCAAAGAAGAAATGTTAGAAGCATCACTGATCATTTTCACTGCATCTTCTTTTCTTTGTTAGAACATTTTGCGGCAACTTTGTACAACCTAATTGTTTATATTTTCTTCTTTTCAGATTATTTACACTTGCTTCCACAAAAGATGATTCCTGAAGTCACTGTCAAATTCAGAGAAATTATTCCTATATCTGCACATACTGGTGAAGGATCTGAGCAGTTGATTACATGCTTAAGAAAAATAATAGATCAAGAAGCTGAAGAAAAGATTGAAAGTTACCAGAGGGAGCAACTCCATGCATTACATCTCTCAAAAATATAGCAACATTTTTCAGTTAAACTAATTCAGCAAGTTTTGTAATTCTGCCTGTAATTGAATTCATGATTGGTCCTCTTTCTTAAGCATAAATATGTGTATTTTGTTCTTGTAAAATAGTAAAAGTATATGCAGATTTCAAAGCTATGTATCTCATGAAATTTGTAGTATAATTTTTAAAACATATAAATATGTACTTTTATATATTGATCCTAGGACTCAGTTTTCTTTATGAAAGATTTCAAGAAGAATATAATATTTATTTATTTTGAGAGAGCACAACACATTGTCCTAGAAATATCTAATGCTAAAAGTGATTTCTGGAAATATTTTGGGCAGAATTATTTAAATTACTTATAGCCATGCTGGTGGCAGTTGTAGAAAGTCCTGTACTGATACATATTTTAGCACAGGAGTCTTCAAACTTGGCAACATTAAGACTTGTGGACTTCAACTCCCATGCTGGCTGGGGAATTCTGGGAGTTAAAGTCCACAAGTCTTAAAGTTGCCAAGTTTGGAGATCCCTGTTTTAGCATGTGAAATGTTAGTACCACTTTTTACTGCATTACTAAAACTATACTTGGACTACTCTGTTCAGTTTTGGTCATAGAGATAAAAAGATGTTGAGACTCAAGAAAGAATGCAAAGAAGAGTACAAAGATTATTAGGGAGCTAGAAGCTAAAAACTACAATGAATGGTTGCAGGAATGGAAAATGTCTAGTTTAACAAACAGAAGCACTAGAAGTGACATGATATCAGTCTTCCAATATTTGGGTGACTGTCACATAGAAGAGAAAGGTCAACCTATTCTCCAAAGCAAGAGAAGACCTAACAGATCAAAGCTTAACAAGAGAAATCCAACCTAGAAATAAGGATAATAATTTCCTGTCAGTGAGAACAATTAATCAGTGGGGCAGCTTGGCTCCAGAAGTTACGGGTAGTCATCACTGCAGATTTTTAAGAAGAGATATGACAGCCATTTGTCCAGAATGATCTAGTCATCTGCTTGACTAGAAGACCTCCAAGATCCCTTACAACTCTGTTAATCTGTAAACCTCCAAGGTCCCTTTCAGCTCTATAGCTCTAATTCTATATTATGCAAATTTAGACAATTATGGTTTATTCAGCCAAACAGCTTAGTATGGCATGGTAATTCAAAGAATGCCATTCAGTAATTAATACATATAACTATTTTTGCACTTCATATTTAATGAAGAATGAAGGCAAAATCTAACATTAACATGATGTGAAAATATTTGGGGCTAAGACTATAATGTATGTACCCATTGGGGAATTTTAACTACCTGAAAGGATGGTAAACTATAACATTTCTTGTTCTGTAGATGGAAGCCTTCCATGTGTCCTTGAGAAAAGGTGATCCACAGTACTTCAGAACCTATGGAAACAAGTTTTCTATATGACTTAAGGAAGGTTGTGACTTAGACAATTGACAGCTCCTCAGTCTCCTGAATTGTCAGGAGAAATGGAAAGTCAGTAATGAAGCTTGTACATTAGTACTGTAGGAAGTGGAGGTGGGAGTGGAGACCAAATTGGAGAAAGAGAAAAGCTATCTGGTTAATACATCCTGCTAAATTACAATTTATTATAAAAAAAGTTGATTAAGCCATAATGGATGTGCATATCACATCATGCTATAACCTGTGGCTCATTAGACATATAATGGCTGGTTTTATCTAGCTAGTAGAACTGGCTTGCTGAATAAACTTCCATCTAGTTATAAATTCTCTCAAGGCAGAGATGAGTAAAATTAAAGCCCACTGCTTGTAGACTTTTATTCCCTTTTGGTAACCCTTGGCATCCCGCTGATTATCCTGCTGAAAATCAAGAACATCCATTGCACCATATTCAGATTTGTGTGAGACGGGCCTTCCATTTTACTTTCCTATAAAATGTTGTGTGAATTTTCCCTAGATCTAAAATTTGTCTTTTTAAACAAAAGCAACTTGCTTGCTTTCTAATGCCAAATCAGCTACTGCTTTAAAACTTGGCTATTGTTGGTTCAAACTAGAGTTGTGGGATCTGACAGCTCAATATCAATAATGGGTCCACTGATGCATTGCAGGAACTGAACTGTTTTTTGTCCTAATGATAATTTTATTAATTCATGTTCATTAAAAACGTATCTTCAAAATGAAACTTAAAGCATCACAAAGACTGTAAAGAGATACTATAATGTCTGCATATTTTGTAATTAGACATCCATTTTAATGTTTTAGGGTAAAAATCCATTCTCAGAATTCACATTGGCTTTGTTAAAAAAAAAAAACTGCGGTAAAATAACCCTAACAACTAAAAGTCTCGAAGGCGATAGCTCATTTCTGTCAAACTGCTCCCCTTTGGGAATTAATCCCGATCTGATCCTCAAAGGGCAACCTCAATTACAGCCGGGAGGTGTAGACTTCAGTAATAGCTATTGAAAGAGGACCTTGGGAATTGTAGTCTTTGGAAGCACGTGGAAACTAAGAAAACAGTAGAGAGAAACTACAGTCCCAGGAAGCTTTGGGCAGACCTGGAAACGATAGCCACTTCCTGAAATCCGGCAGATCGAAGATGGATTCGGCGTTTGTAATTGTGTGCATTGTGCGTGGGAAGCAGGTTAGAAAAGGGAGATTTGATGTCTGCTTATCAACAAAGATGCCAATTTTTATTATACATAATGAGATTTCTGTCGGTCCAGATCGCTACGGCTGTGTCATATTTTTATGGGTGTATTGTTCATTTCAATGAAATGGATTGTATAATGATAATTACGATTTGTTATACTTAGTGCAACTCTGCCTCATCGAGTGTCAGAGGCTTATCTACAATGCAAAATTGGCTAATTCTGATAACAAAGAGATTCCTGAAGCTCAAGATCCAGCATTTCTAACAAGTATGGTTTGAATGATGAGGGAGGTGGATGGGAATTGTACTTCAACAACATCCTGGAGGGGAACTTGTTGCCTATCTAGTAGAGTCTATTCCTATGAACCAAATATTCTAATACTTGGAAGAAAACACTTTAAAAAATTCTTTAAAATTAGGGGTCATCCTATGAAAAGGTTTTGTGGGATAGATGAGAAAAAATAGATACTGCTTTGTAAGATTTAATGTCACAAGTTGTCATGGGATCTGATTTAGATGAATTGAAATTGAATAAATTTGTGAAGGGCAACACCCCTATCTTTAAATAGTCTTTACAGATTTTTCTGGTTGGCTGCTTTGAGGCACATGATGAATCAAGTTGGCTGGTAGAACTCTAATTATATTGTTTGTTAATTGTATGTTTCAAATAGGTGTTCATATGTTGTCTTGAATCATAATATCACTCATCTGCTGTAACTTACTGTGAGTTTCTTTCATCATTTTAGCCATAAATAGTAATGCAAACAAAATACTTTGTATTGTTTTTATTTGGTTGTTTTTGAATGTTTCAGTTTGATAATGATTTTTAATTTTTCTTGTTTACAGTAATTGGAACTGAAGGTTAGATACAGTGTACAAGTAGGTGTCTTTACCATATTACAACATGTTTTCCTGGTTTTGTTATTTAATCATATACCGTATAGAGGGGTCTGAATGAAGTTTGCATGGCCTGTGTCATATCTATTTTGGTTCCATTCTCTGATTTGAGATATATTATGTTGAAAACATTGTGCATATTTTTATGTTCTTCGAATGATTTTGAATACTTAGAATTATGAATTGGGGTTGGTTTTTTTGGGGGTGGGTGGGCAGATGACCAGTTTAAGGACGGTGGTATATACATGAAGCTATAGAAAAGCTTAATCAACATAATTGATTTTCAGTAGGTTAGGATTCATGTTTCCTGTGTTAAAAAGAGTGACAACTGCATTTTACTATATTTAGGGACTGGGTGTGTATACAATGCTTTACATACTTGGCATTGGATTCTCTATATGGACATATCTCCACAATATAGTTACGTGTATACACACCATTCTTGCAACTGGAAATTAAGAAAAAGCATGCCTCACTCAGACATTTGAATGAGAGATTTGCTGCCTGGAAATGATACAAACTTATTTTTAATGTGCCTTCAACATAATGTTGAGGAGCACAAACAGAAAAATAAAAGTGTTCACCTAAAATATTGCCCTTGAGAAAATAATACTGTCTTGGAGAAAGGTAATGAAGGATATGTTGATGCTACTTATTCTTATAGATTATATAAGAATATATAATCTATAAGAATATATAATTTATAAGATTCTTATATATTAGATATTTTGCCTGCAGGCACAAACTGGTTTAAAATATGTTTTGTTTATATAAGGAGTTGGTGGTTGTCAGTTTCATTCATTTTAGTATTTGCAGGATAAATTGAAGAATGTAGCATCGTAGTTTCAGTTCATGTTCTGTACCATTGATATATCAAAATGTGAGTGAAACAGTTGACAGGAAAGTGTTTTCAAGTCATCTGATCCAAAATTATATTACACAGTTGATTGACCAGCTTACTGTGAATGCTAAAAATGACAATGACAGCTCTCCTTCAGTGTAATATTTAAGTTACGTCTAGTTTAAGTACACAAGTCCAGGACAACTATGCATCTGTGTAGAGCAATATTGTAAATTGTAAATGCATCTATTAAAAATAGTAAAGGGCCAGACATTTCAAAAAGAAGTTTACCGATGTCAACAGATTAATGAAAAGAAAAACTTAAGAAACAAAAACGTCTGAAATTAGATATTTTGCTGTGGTATGGGTACTTTTTACAATGGAATCGAAATATTTTAGAGTTGCTTTTTTTGCATTCATGCAGAACAAAGATTCCAAGGTGAGTTTGGGCATCATGTTATGCTTCTGTATTTCTGTACGTTTAACAGTCATGTAAATGTGAGGAGCAAAATGCGAGTGAAATGAGCTAAGTATGCTAACATTCAGCTTATTAATGATAAATTGAATTTCATTGGAATCCTGTCTTATAAATGTATGCAAACATGGCCACTGACTCAAAATATAGCTATCTTTGCTCTAGAAACATTGATCTATTTAAGTGAGTTCTTCTATTAATCTGAATTTAATTATACCTTCAAGTTAAATTCCATTCTCAGGGCTGAAGAATAGTACTTATCTTGGCTTATATTTGAACAGTTAATAACATGGTTAAGTTTAGACCAGTGCAAATTAGTTTTAATTAAAATCCAGCAAATTCTGTAGGTGCTTGTACTATAGCTAAAATTACAAATAGACAAGTGTTCAGTGATTGAGTCTGTTTTTACATTTTTTGGAAGTTTAGTGTAACATAGCTTTTTGTATTAAAATTACATTCCTTTGCCATTAAAGGTATTGTTGAATATAGATCAAGAAGTAGAAACCATTTCAAATAAATTAATTGAGCACTTGTATTAAATATTACTTTTTGTGATCAAATTTAATATATTATAACTAGTCATTAACTTACAGCTTGGCGATTGTTTGAAGTTATGATAGACCATCCAAAGGTATTTATGACCCTGCCTTAGTCGTACAGTCACTTCAGTGCCCCTGCCATTATTCACTCTTATGACCAACCGCAGGAAATTGCAGTGCCCCGCTTCCCCTACAGCTATCTCCCTCACCTATCCTGTGGGGTCTCTGCAAGCCTCAGCCTCCAAAGTTTAGCTGTGCTCTGTTTATTTGTGGAGCCTCCTTAAAAAATCCCAACAGTCTCTTAAGTACTGCTTGCTTGCAGAATAGAGTGAAGTTGTGATGAGCATAGCACAAAACATCATAGTCCTCTGACATCACTGGATGAAATCACCAGAACTTGCTGCCTTAGCAGAGTGAGGAAAATCCTTAGAGATGATTCACACCCTAGTCAACACACTCTCCTACCATTGAGCAGGAGATATAGAAGCATAGCCAATAGTACAAACAGGCTAGAAGACCAGCTTTTATCCATGGGCTGTCAGACTCCTGAATACAACATAACATCATAACTCCGTAACTACGAGTATGATAGACTCGCAGAGTCTGCGCAACATGCAACATGTTCACATTGGTGCAATATGATGTAATGTTATGCACATATATGTACAGAGGATTGTGTTAATATGATTTACTGAGTTAGGGATTTTCTTTTTTCACTATGATTTATTGAGATGTATTATGTTGGGGCGGTGAACTAAGGGAGGCTCAGCCAATTGATAATAAAGGATGATGATGATGATTGTTATTGTTATTATTTCAGCAGCTTTGCAAGAAAGCTGAGCCTTGCATTGCATCAGCCAGGCTACTCTGCAAAAACCCAAAAAGGTAAGTTGGGTGCCCTTGGGCCCTGGAGCTGAATGTGGGGTAGGGTCAAGACTTAAAAGTGCCTGCAATGCTGGATAAGAAGTAGACTGGGCCTAAAAGGTTTAACAGCCTCCTGCTCTGGTGGTTTCTATTGCTTAGTTTTAGGCTGCTTTAAGGCCTGGCTGCAAGCAGGCTGTGTCCTGCAAGTCCCTTGGGTTGCTGGATGGGAAGTAGCATGCCTTGGCCTACAGGCTCTAACTGCCCTTTGTGCACCCCAGTGGTGTGGTTCACCAGCAGCCTGTGCAGATGACAGAAGAATTGGGCAGTGGGGAAGAACAGGGACCAGTCTGGGAGTCTGGGGAGGACTAGGACGATGGTCCTGTGTCCAATGCAGAGATGGGGCCAGAGCCATCTGGGAGTTGTGTGCTGACTCCAGAGCCTCCAGACTCTGACAGCAGTGAGGCAGAGGAAAAAGGGGAGCCAGTTCCCAATGCGCAGAGCTGCCAGAAGGCAAGAGCAGCTAAAACAAAAGGGATGACTCACAAGTAAGGCTTGGAGGTGATTGCCCCTCCTATAAGATATAAAGTAAGTGCAAAGGTAAAGAAACCTTTGCAGGAAGCAAAGTCGTTCGCTCTATTCGGATTAAACCTTGAAGCTCTGTATGGACTTTGTACTTCATTTGGTGTTTTTTTTTTCCAGTTAATTTGGCACTTTAGTTTGTTGGCAGCAATTCAAAGGAGATAAAGGTGGGTGCTTATCTTGAGGGACCGTTTGGGACTCATTATGGGCTGGGAATGAACATAATTCCCAGCATTGAAATAAAGCAAGAGTTGTTTGGACTAAGTGTGTGCTTAATTATGGTCTCGGGAAGCCTTGGTCAGAACAAGAGGCTCCTTTAGGCTCCCTTCAGTGGCTGACAGACCAGAAATCCTGAGGAACAATGAAATGAATCTTTATACAAGTTAACTTGGTGCTCTTTCCCAATTTTTCCAGGAACCATTTTTCACAGATTGCAATGGGCTGCCGGGACGTTCATGCTGCGACAGTCCTAGCCTTCCTCTCTGGAACAGCTGCTTTATCAGGACTCATTGCTGCTGCACTGCTTCCAAACTGGAGACAAATGCGACTCTACACCTTTAACAAAAATGAGAAGAACGTGACCGTTTACACTGGGCTGTGGATTAAGTGTGTTCGCTCTGATGGCAGCAAAGACTGTGTCATTTATGACACCGAGTGGTATACAGCAGTCGATCAGCTAGATTTGCGTGTCCTCCAGTTGGCTCTTCCTATTAGCATGTTGACCACAGTCTTGGCCCTTTTTCTCTGTTTAATTGGCATGTGTAACACAGCCTTTGTATCCACGGTGCCCAACATCAAGCAGGTCAGATGCCTCATCAATAGTGCAGGCTGCCATCTTGTGGCCGGCCTTTTCTTTCTTCTTGCGTGCGTCATTTGCCTGATACCATCAGTTTGGGTCATCTTTCATAATAGAGACCTGAATCAAAAATATGAGCCTGTTTTCACTTTTGACATTTCTGTTTACATTGCTATTGCCAGTGCAGGTGGCTTATTATTTACAGCTATTCTCTTATGCCTCTGGTACTGTGCATGCAAGACTTTACCTTCTCCTTTCTGGCAGCCTCTATATTCGCATGCCCCTAGTGTGCACAGCTATGCTTCCCAGCCATATTCTGCGCGATCACGGCATTCTGCCATTGAAATTGACATCCCTGTGGTTACACGTACTTCTTAAAAGAATGGGTTAAGAAAGGCAAACATTCCTTTGTGTATTCTCCCCTTATGCTAACATTTACAAGTTCCCACAGCTTAGCAACTTCTGCAACTATAGCAAGGGTATGTGTAATTTGGTGACGTTTACTTTTATTACCTAGATTGATAAGAAACAGGAATGAGCAGGCTGAAATACTAGAAGCAACTGCAAACTTTTAAGGGCCTTTGAAACCAGCAGTTTTTGTAAGTTTATAAATAACAAACTTTAGTATCATCTTACTTTTGCAGAACTCAAGTTTCTTCCATAAAATATAGTACTGAAAAATGCCATCGTGCTGTTTGTCTTCCAGTATGTGAAACAGTTAAGTGCAGGTAGTCCTCAGCTTACAACTATTTGTTTAACAATGGTTCAAAGTTACAACGGCCCCAGAAAAAAATAATTTACAACTTGTACTTATGTCTGGAACACTACCCCTTTGATCATGTGATCACAAATTGGGTGCTTGGCTAATGGCTTTCATTTATGACTGGCATCCAGCAGTTACATGATCACAATTTACTATCTTCCCAGCTGATTTCAATTAAAAATGTCCATTGGGCATGGTAAATCTGCTTAATGATCACATGAATTACTTAACTGTGGTGATTCACTTCATTATAAAAATGGTTGTAAAATCCAATCTGATCACATTTTTTAACTGCAGTGACTTACAAAGGAAATTCTAGTCTCAATTGTGGTCACATGTCAAGGACTACTTCTATTTCCTTCCAGTCTACAGGTAGTCCTCGACTTACGACCATTCATTTAGTGACTGAAGGCTGCAAAAAGTGACTTCTAACCGATTTTCACACGACCCATTGCACCATCCCCATCATTAGGTGATTAAAATTTGGATGCTTGTCAACTGGTATGTATTTACAAAGTTTGCAGTGTCCCAGGTTCTGTGGTCACCTTTTGCAAACTTCTGAAAAAGTCAGTGGGGAAGCCAGGTTCAGTTAACAATTGTTTTTCTTAACTACAGTGATTCACTTGACAACTGGCAAGAAAGATCATAAAATGGGGAAAAATTCATTTAACCATATTGCTTAGCAACAGAAACTTTAGACTTGTGATCATAAGTCAAGGACTAACTGTAGTATCCCTCTAATTTGAAACATTTGTAGTTTAAATCTTTTCTCCACTGATAGTCATTTCTTATTTTTACAAATGATAAACTGATTTTGTCTAAAGCTGTCCTCGACTTACAACAGTTCATTTAGTGACTGTTCAAAGTTACAACAGCAATAAAAAAAGTGACTTAGGACTGTTTTTCACAGTTAACACCTTTGCAGCATCCCTATGATCATGTGATCAAATGCTTGGCAACTGTTTCATACTTAAGACCGTGGCTGTGTCCCAAGATCATGTGATCAGTCAATGAGGAAGCCAGATTCACTTAACTAACTTATCAACTGAAGTGCTTCACTAAACAATTGTGGCAAAAAAAGGTCGTAAAATGAGGCAACGGTCATTTAACAAATGCCTTGCTTAACAAATTTTTGGGCTCAGTTGTGTTCATAAGTTGAGGACTACCTGTAATAATTTGACATTTAGTATGCAAAGTAATAGTTTATGTACCCATTCAATCCTGGGCCTATTGTGTTTCATTATGCATATACAAAATATATTTGTCAACATTTTTTAATGTTTGTTAACTTTGTTCCTATGAAGATTGCCATTTCTAAAGAAGCACAATGCTAATAAGCAGGAGTAAAACTACATTGCCTAAGAAACGTTTTTTTGGTTAAAGAAAAACTTTAAAGCTTTTTTTTTCAACAAAGGAAATTATGTAAAAGTCTGTTTACAGACAAACTATGAGTAGCGTAACATCAATATCAGAATAGTCTCAGGACTGATTATGGAGGCAAAATCAAAAGTGTAGATCAGTTGGACTGCTATTGCCTAAGGGCTTATGCTACCATGGTATGTATCTCTATTATCAAATATTTTTATAGCTAATGTGAGTTTTTTCATTATACTTAAAATCATAAGTATTCTAAATATTTGTTAACAAAAGAAAATCTTCCTCTCTATTGAAAAATACCTTTCTGATTTTAGATTATTTTTAAAAATAAGTACAGAATTACATTTATGGGTTACTTTTTATAAGTGGATTCCTGAAAGCCATGTTCCAAATAAATTATACCGAGTATAGAATATTTTTGTATAATATTACAATTTTGAAGATGAGATTATCATTATAAACATTTGCTGTATTGTTACAAGCATATTGGCTTGGTTGTAGATCTCACATTGTTTCTTTTGCAGAAACAATGTTCTTGTGCTTTCAGAAGGATCCCCCCCCCCCGGCCTCAATTTTCCGGTATTTACTGTTTTCTAAGTATTACCAGAAGCAGATACGAACTTTAGAGTATGCTATTTGATCTCTTTTTTTAAGCGAATAAGAATTTTCAAAAGCTTTTAAACATATCCTGGAAATTGAACTAAATCTAATATCTTTCTTATTGACTTCTAAGAATATTACTTTTTAATTTGCTTTAAACAGTAAAAATAGTTAAAAAAATAATTGAAGAAAGCAAAGTTTTGTTTATGAACTTCATTTCTTTAGGTAAATTATTGGAAATTGTTCTATATTAATGTTTATTTTGCATTTACCATTCCAATTATATACACATCAACCTGTGTCATTGAGACCTTTTAACTTTGTTTTGAATCAGGAATTTCTCAGAAATGTTGAGTATGTAACACTTTTAACGGTGATGTTTGCACTGTTTACAACTAAAAATAGAATGTTAGAAAGGATTTATATTTGCACTTGAACTTCATAAATGGGAAATGAGTACAATTCCCTTCAAATAGCTGCAGTTAATGAGAGCTACACATAAAAACAGCTTCAAAATGCAGGGCAAGTTTTAAGTTGTTGTGTCAATGACAAACATATAACAATGTTTTCAGTTCTCCCATTCAGGTATTCAGTTTCTATTGTCTTTTGGAGAATTTAGAAATCTTAGGGAAATAAAACAGCTGCATTCTGATCATTTCCTCTTCTTCTGCTTCAATTCTCATCTTACTAATGAGTAGGACAACAAATGAGGAGGTTCAGATTCTTATCTACCTGTAGTCTTTTAGAAGCTTGATGGGTGATTTTGAGCTAGTAGCTCTTTCTCAGCCAACCTACCTCACGTAATTGTTTTTGCAGGAAAAATGAAAGGACGTCCTATGAATACTGCTTTAAGCTCCTTGTATAAAAACTAAGGAGGTACGAAAACAATTAGCATACAATATATCAGTTACATTATGCAATATAAATGATGGGGCTGATGTACCTAGCTTAGAGGTTCTGTTTTACCCTTTGTTGAGGATATTGTATAATAATTAAGGTATCAAGGAGACCAGGAGACAGTGAGTTCTAGACCCAACTTTAGGCACAAAGCCAGCTGGGCGAACTTGGTCTCTCAGCCCTAGGAAGGAGGCAATGACAAGCCACTTCTGAAAACTTGCCATGAAAACTTCAGGGACTTGTCCAGACAGTTTCTGATAATCAGACACAATTGAATGTAAACAAAAGAAAAAAGAAAAAGCGTACTCTATAGATTGAAGTGGCATGGATATAGCCACATACTCAGCCACATACCCAAAACAGTGGAACTGTTTTCCAAAATAAATATTCCATTATGTACTCTGTACTCTGTTAGCTCGAGTTCTCTGAAAGAAAGTATGTCAGGCTGATCTTTTGGGAGCTGGGTGAGTTTCATTAGATGGTAGAGGATACACTTTGTATTATGGCTGGTGCTTTTAATATTTGAAGAAGATGGCTCGGAGAATGCTATCAAGGATTGCTATGTTTCAGTTTGGTCATGACTCCATAGGTAGCTGTTCTACATTAAAGTTCTATATTTTTATGGATTCTAACTCAATGTATTAGGATTTTGCAAATACTAATTTGCTTTTCTGGGGATAGGTTTTCACGCCAGTATTTGTTTAACAGTGTTGAGCTTCAGGATTTTAGTGACTGGTTTAGGGAACAGATTTTCTGATGTTTTGCAGCAATTCTATCTAGCATCTTCAGAGACAAAGTTGTCTGTCACATGGACCACAGGCAACTGAACAGGAGCTGACTGCTCCTGTTTTTATAGTCATATAGTTAATAAAGTTATATAAAACTATATCATTTTGTAGTCTTTATATGTGTCCAGACAGGCTATAAACATAGGAACCCAGTCAAATCTTGCTCAATTACCAATGGTCTACCTCACAAAATCTGAAGCTCAATACTGCCCATCTTGCTTTTCTGTTTTAAGAGTACAAGGCCTCTAAGCAAAATGAGAAAATTACCATCAGTGCCAGCATGTTAAGTGGCATCAGAGTAATAGAATCAGCTCTGTGCCATTTGTCTCATTCCCCAGCAATGTGGATAGACAGTATCCCTCACTGATGCTGAAGAAAATTTGAATTGTTTGTCTAGTTGGATTTTGTATATTTTCTTAATATTTATTATAAATTGGCTTTTTGACAGTGTTGACTGCCCGTGCATGCAGAAGCTATTAAACTGTGACTTGGGTATAACATTAATCTGTTTCTTTTGAATCTTATCTTGCCTAGCATGATTTAAATAGAGTAATTTTTCAAATGCAAAATTTTGGACGTGAATCCCACCACTCATTTTAGAATAAAATTTATCTTTGTGTTGCATGGAAATGTATTAATTTAATCAGAGTTGCTTACTGTAAAGAAATCTGGGTTTGACATTTAATATCTCATAGTTTTGTGTAGTTGTATTTTTAATTAAAAAATAAAACATTATTTTGCAATGATTGACAATACATTGATTGATATATACAAAAGTCTTCTTCATTGTAATAGTACAAATTCCTGCTAAGGTGAACAATACTACTTACACTATGCTTTAGTATACCATAAGAATTAGACCTATATGTATCTCATGTCTGTCTTTTCATTCACTCTGCTCTTTTCATTCAGCTTTCCAAATTAGACCTTCCTAGTTAAGTATCCTAGGTTTCCAAAATATTCTCATTGGGCTTTGGAGGGGGGGGGGGCAGGATTCAAAAGGTAGTGGTTAAAGATTTGAAGATGGTTTTTACTGTTTAACAACTACAATTGGGACAAGCATTTCAGGCATTAAGCAAAACAGTCACTATGTGAAACCACAACTCTGCTTAGGATCTGAAATCAGCTTTCCTTTGCTTTACAGACCTGTGAAGGTCATAAATGCCAGGATCTATTGCAGAATTAACTCATCACAGTTCTGACTGAACAATTGCTAAAGATTTGTAGACTTATGACCACAATTGGGCACAGAATCACAATTGTGGTTGCTAATTGAGCTTGTGGGTCATTAAACAGATGGAGTCAGGAGCTTGGATGTGCCTTCTCCAAATCAGCTTTCAAAGAATCACAAAAAACGGAGCCTGGTTGGAGGCAAGAGGCCACACTTTGCATAGACTGGTGTGTCAGCTGAAAAAAAAAATCTGAAGTGGGGCTGGTCTGGTGAGCTGAGCAGTTTTCCATAAGCTAGTGGCCCTGGGGCCAGCCTTATTTGCACAGGCTGATGGACTAGCTAGATTGATGACTGAGATGATGGTGGTGGTGGAAGATAGGTTGGTGGGGAAAGTCACAGTACCCTTGTGTTTGGAACTGCACTTAAGCTGCCTAACACCCAAAATGTGTTCACCTGTTCACAGGGATGCCATAACTTTGGGCACAGGTTACAAGTCCCTTCATTCAGTACCATCATATTTTCAGTAGTTGATGCATGAACAGTTGTAAGTTCAAGACTGTGCTGTATTCTCCAGCATTTTCTTAAAAATGGGAAAGGTAAGGTGTTATTTTACTGGTAACCTAAAGAGCTTGCATTAATTGACAGTGCAATCCCTGTTTATATTTCCTTCAAAATAACTCATGTAATTCGTTTTTTTAAAAAAGTTATAGCCATATAGGTTGAGAATCATAGTTGAAGGATCTTCATACGGCTCTAGCAAAGAATTTGAAAAGAATGAGACAACTTAAGAATTCGTTTAAGCTTTTTGTCTGGCAAAATTGTTAAATGAGACCTTGCCTGGGGTTTGCAGTTCACAGCAGTCTCAAACAGAGATAATGCATGCATTGCATTAGGTAACAGTCAGCAACTTTCCACCAAAGAAAATGATGCTCCAATCTGTTTCCTTAAAATACTTGGTCAAGGTGCGTTTCTCAACGTCAGCAACTTCGACCTCAACTCCCAGAGTTCCCCAGTCAAGCATGCAGAGTTTCTCAATCTCCACTACGACTTTAAAGAGGGATGCATTTCAATTCTTGGACCCACCCTACTGGCTGAGGAATTCTGGGAGTTGGAGTCCATCCCTCTTGAAAGATGAGGAACACTGCCCTATAGAAATACTTCATACAACCCGCCACCCGCCTTGTTTACAGCACAGCCAATGATCCCCCGACCCCCAGCAACCTTCATTTCTAGAAACTGCACCGCGGATCGAGAGCGGTCCCGCGAGGGGCGGAGTAAACGCATCAAGACCACGTGGGCGGTAGCGAGAGTTCTTATTCGCTGGGAGGCCTGGGCCTAGCCCACGCAGTTCTAAGTGCGCTTGCGCGAATAAGGGAATAAGTTGTCCCTGAATTCTATGAGAAGGTGGGAGGAGAAGTGCGAAGTTTGTCGGTTTGGCGTCGGGTGAATTGATGGTGGTGACTATGGCCTCCTGGCAGCTTCTTTCGACCCTGGCCGTCCTGTGTGTCTTGCTATGCATCTGTCCGACGATGGAACTGGACACGGTGTCCTCTGTGTCGCCTTTGCCAACTCCTGCTCCGTGTAAGCAAGGAGCGGTCCTGTCTCCCTGGCCCGGCGGGGTGTGTGGGGCTGCATTGCGGGAGGGAGCATGGCCCGCCGCTCAGGCTCGGCTTCCTTTCCCGCCTCATGTGCAGCTTTTCGGCGGTGGGGAGGGGGGGGAGAGAGAGAGTCCTTTTCCCTCTTCTCTTGGCGTCCATATTTCCAGAGTCCTTTCAGGATACCGGCGCTTCCCCCGTTTTCCTCTGGCCGAGAGGCGTCTTGCAGATGTGGAGAAAGAGTCCAGCCCCGTCCTACTGGCTCGGTATTTTGAGAGTCACAAACCTGATGGCTCCGGAGGTGACAAGACTCAGGAACTCTGCCTCGGGGTGTAGTCTTTTCGTACATTCGCCCCGCCCCAGGGTGTCTTGTTGGGCGTCTTTAAAAATAATCAGCTTTAATTGGACCCTCCCCTTCTGTCTTTTACAGATGAACATATCCTTTCCAGTAACCTGGTTTCCTCCTTTACTTTGACCTAAACATTTCCTTGGATACAGTTCCTTCTCTTGTGTTGACCTCCTCTGTTTACTCCACCTTCCCTGAACCTGTATTAACCCTCAAGCTTAATTAATTCATCTTAATTTCAATGAGCATCAAATGGTTACAGTTAACAGAATTTACCTGGTCCTTCAAGGTTTGGGCCTTTTCTTTTAAGAGGTTGTGGAAACGACATTCCTTTTAAAAGAAATGATGATTTAGCTGAAACTTATAGGAGCTGCCTGATTTTATTGCAGGTTGCACTTCCTATATTTTTCACAAAATAGTTGAAACTGAATTAGACAGGGTATTATGGGTTTTGAAATAAAGTATTGTTGGTATTTTAAAATGTAAGGTAAGAACAGGCATATGAGACACTTTAGGTTAAGACTAGAAGGAATTTTATTTACCTCTCAATAACATTTTTGAATTAAAATATCTCTGAAGGTGAAGTCATAGTATGAGAGTTAATCATTTTAAGTTCCAATTTACTAAATGATTTTTATTTTCTAGTAATTTGTAGCTTATTCAATCCCAACATATTCGTTTTAAAAATGCAAATTTTGAACGTTTTTCTTTTGAGTTGATGGATTAGGGCAAAGAACTCTCATTGTCATAGTCATGTGATTCGTTTGCCCTGTCTATAACAATTTTCATACATTGGTACAAAAGTTTCCAAGGTCAATGAATAGTTTCACAGTAAATGTAATTAAACACTTTATTGAAGGAAAGTTATTTTGCTGTTTCACTTCAGCTGCTTATCTTGCAAGATTTTATATTAATCAGAACATCAATATTCAGTTTGTTTGCTATTGAACAACAAAATACAGAATAATACAAATTAATTAAAAGTCAAAAAGTAAGCTAAAAGTACAGCAGGAAAAATAAATATACAGAATGACTTCTGACACTCTTCACAGCAATTATAAGAAAAACATTTTAACATGTCTTAAAGTTATGATTCTTTCTATAATTATCCTGTCTAATCAAAAGCTGCCAATAAATAAAATTATTAGCAATTCTCTTGAAGGGAAAATTAGGTCTTCCGTTAGCTATGTCTGCCGCACAACTGTTTCCTGAAAAATTAGTTCAGATTATTTTTAATGGAAAACAGACTAAATTTGACAAGTATGTACAACTTCTGTAGGACTGACACAGGCAGAAAATGGCTTGCCTGGAGCAGAAACTGAACCATGTTTGGGATGTGCAGCATTGGGAGGGAGGCAGTTGATGCAAAGGAGTAAGATTATTCCTTCATGAACCCTCATCTAGGCACAGCTCTTGAGGTGATGAATGAGAAAAACTCTGGAGAGACGTCTGTGAAGATTCTTAAATCATCCAGATCATGATTGTCCCAAAGGTGCTTTCAAAAGACAACGGGACTTTTTTTTTTTTTTAATGTTTCTCATCCAAGAAACCTTTAATTCTGAACTGAAGGAACTTCTTGTATTGGAAGTGAAATGTTTTCAAAAGAAAAAAAAATCCAGTTGCTTTTTGGAAAAAAGCACCTTGTGATTCTGGAGAGACACTGACAAGAATGCAGCAGCAGGATACAAGGGGGAGAGTGGAGCTGGCAGGGGCTGCACACATAGTGCAACTATCTTTTATTGATTGGGCAAGATGGTATTCTCCCTTGCATGGAAAAACATGTTCCACTTTGCCAGGGCTTGCTGATTGCAAATTCTTCTTTCATCTTTCACGCTCTTTTCCCAAAGCAGTCTTGCTTTATTACTCCAATTAATGACCGTACAGTGAATGACTTTGGCTTTGTCTGCCTCATCCTGCCTTTTCCCTCCCAGTGTGGCACCAGCGGAAGGATGCTCTGGGAAAGTGGCAAGCATATTGAAATCTCTGCTTCTCCCTACACATTGACTGTACATCAGTCCTTAGTTCAGTTAATTTGTGTGTCAGTGAAACCTGATCTAGAAGTCATTTAAAGTGGCTTTAGTTTTTTATAATTAAAAGTGTGTTGGGAAGGAGAGGGAAGAATTTCAGAATAAAAAAGGGGATGTTAATCTGCCTATGGCATGTGGCAGATGCAGTCCATTTTTATGTTACTCTATAGTTCTTGGGTCACAGTTTCTGCAGAAGTTTCCATTTAAATTAATAGAACTCAACTATTTAAAATACCCAAGTGAAATGTTGTAAAATATGTAAATGTAAGTTAGTTTTTAATTACTTTACAAGGAAATTTTCCTGAAATGGTTGCAGTTCTTAAGACTATTCTGTAGCTAAAAATTACTAGAAAATGCTGCTTACAAGATATAAAAAAATAAATGTTTATAGATACTATTTTCATTTTATTCTAGTTAATGTTTTTGTACAGTACTACAGATATACATTGAATATGCTTTGCAACTTAGTTTTGAGCATATTTACTATGTCACAATATGGAATTCATTATAAAATGTACTTTGCTGCTCAATAACAGTACTTTATTTAGGTGTATTTGAAATTTATATAACAAGCTTTCTAAAGCCTAGCATCCTGAAAAGCATTAGCTTTTGAAGTAGTTATACATATTTGATTCACTCTGAAATTTTGACTCTCTTGGATCTAAAAAGCTTTTGCTGCTCTATACATTTTTGTCAGAAAATTTACAACCTTCAGATTTAAACTTTCCCATGCATTTTTTTTCTTTTTTTCCAGCATGTTCTGATTTTACTGGAATGAAATGTGAAATGTGCATAAAAAATACTGCAGTAAGTATTTTCATTTTTATTTAACCAGGGGAAATTTTTATCTATTTTTTATTGTATTTTATAGGTAGGGACAGATTTTTTTTTTAAAATGTAAACATTCGTTTGATATCAGTAAATAATAGATTGTTGGCAACTGTAAGACAACAATTAGAGCTCAGTGACTTAAAGATTTTCACCCTACAATGGTGGGCTATGTGAACAAAAGAGTTGGAATGCAGAGAATATAAAGACTGCCATATTTGGACACTGAGGGATATAGATAAGAAATCCAAATTTTCAAAGAAGGGTGCAGCTGCAAGGAGAGCACAAAAGGTTTGGGATCTGGCTGGCTATAAATTATGAATTTGTATTTCTACCCCACTCAGCAGTTGTCAGCTCTCTGTTATGGTTACCATTCCCTAGTATACAGTAAAGATGCAGTTTTGAGTTACAGCTTCTTTTTATCTTTGTGGTAGCCAGCAGCTTTCTGCTGAGTTTTCAAATATAAGGAAGGTGTCATAAATATTTGGAAAAAGAAAGTATTTCATTGATGGGAATAAGCCATGGTTTGGTAATTAGTAATTGAAACTTCAAATTTATTCTTCCTATGTGGGCTCTTAATCCCTTTTTTGAAATTGTGTTAAATCACAATTTTAGTTTTACCCAGTTGGTTGTACAAGCTGTGATTTGTTAAGTACCAAATCTTAATATATTTAATTATTCATGAAGGAAAACAAAAAAGTCTGAAAGGAGGGGTGAATCAAGGACTGAGATAAATATGAGTTTGTAAATTATTTACTAAGCATGGCTTGTCATAACATGAAAGAAAAAGCTGTCTCTGAATTCTACAAATGAATGTGTTTAATGTACAGCATATATTAAAACTGAATTAAACGTGACTACAGGTAATCCTTGATTTACAACTGGTTGCTTACTAATCATTTGAAATTATATATAAAAAAAGCTACTTATGACCTAATTTTGAAATTACAATAGCTGCAAACCTCCCCAAAACCACATGCTCACATTTTGGATGCTTGGCAATTGGCTTGTCTTTACAGCTGTTTGCAACATCCCACAGTCACATGACCATGATTGTCAGTGGTCTTTGTTAGTTTTTGGTTTTTACTTCCACAGAAAACACCCATTAGGTAGACTGGATTCATACAATCACAGTATTACCTTAAACTATCTTACTATTTAATGAACATGATGTTTGCGTAACTGCAACAAAAGTTGTAAAATTGGGTTTGGCCATGTGATAACTGGGTTGACAGTTGTAATGACTTATGACTTAATCTGTGAACAATTACAGTCATAAGTTGAGGACCACCAATATTGTGTATTTTTTTAATTAAAAATGACTCTCTTGGCATGAATTCATATCACAGTTATCTCGTGTCCAGGTGAATTCTAATAATGGCTTAAAATCAATATTGATTTTTGTTTCACTTTCCTCAATTTGGATTGTGAACTATTCATGCATAAACACTTGTTTAGTTCAGATTAATATTGCAGAGGAATAATAAACTTTTATACAGAATGGCTTAATTTATAACAATGACCTTATTATTCGACTATAGCATTTATCCCAATATTTTTCCCTTGTTGTAGGATAGACATTTAATTAAAAATTCTTCTATTCTTTTGCTATAGTCAGAACTTTAGATTCAGCAAGAAAAGAGAAAGAAAAGAACAAAAGTGAGGATATATTAGAAGAGAGAAACAGTGACAAGTAGGCCAGAACATCATTGATAAAAGGAGGGTGGGAAGATCCTAACAGCAAAATACAGTCAGCGAAGCAAGAGTCACACCATGTTTCATTAATCTGGTTATGTGTCTAGGAATAAGAAATTAGGATATGAAATTGTAGAAACTTGAATAAGCAAAATTCCCCTCCTCATTCATGAGTGGGATCATTAAGGCAGGGTCCTTCAGTTGTTTGACTCCCTTTTTTTCAGGAAGCAGAACAGAACAGCTAATTGGCCTCAGAAAAGCCTGACATTGCAACAGTCAAGTAAATAGCCATTATTTTGTTAGTAATGTTTTAAAATGCTCCCTTTTCTTACTCAGCTCAAGTTAATTGTTTTACAGATGTAAATCCACTAAAGTGTGTAGAAAAAGGAAAGAAGACTGATAAAATTTTCTGATACTTCCAGCCCCAATTTTCTAATAAAAATAGTATCTATGCAGCCTGAATTTTTTTCACAAGAAGTACCTTCTAAGCCATATTGAAATTGTTAAAGCAACATAAATGTTTTAGAATCATTAAGTCCTGAATTCCTGGGATGATGAGTTATGTTGATAATTGGATGATAAATTGCAGCAGGGAAATTACTGTAGCTTTGCCAGCATTACTCTTAAGAAAGATACATCTGGATTTCATCATTGCATTGTTCATAAATGTAATTGTTAAACAGAATAATTTTATAAGTAAATCAGTATAAAGATTCTGAATTCCTGGGAAATTACATTTTAATTTCTTGGTCAGATTGGTATAAAATATATTTTTAGCTACCAAGATAAAGAATGGGAAATAATATGATGTTCTCAACTTACAAAAGAAATGGACCTTGCCTATTATGAGCATAAGCCATGATGGCTGTAAAATGGTAATCATTTGGCTAACCCAATTTTGTAACCTTTTTATAGCAATTCTTAAGTGCAGTGCCATGACCTTAAGCAAATGCTACAGTCATTCAGTGAATCAGCAATTGTTAAGGAACCCCCATTAATTGCTGTGGGTGGTTTTGCCAAAAACTGGAGGAACATGCTGATTTTTGGCAAAAGTGTAGATTACAGACCCTGTAAATAGCAATAAGTGGGAGCCAGTTGTTGAAACCCAAAATGTAGTCATGTGGTCATAGAGAAGGTGGGCCTGGCTGTCTGAACTTTACAACTTGTAACTTTTAGGGGTCCATTTAACTTTGAACATTTGCTAGTCATAAGCTGAGGACTACTTGTATTTTGGTTAATTTAAAGAAGTTGACTTACAACTATTTTAAGAACAATTTTAAGTTGTGACTGGACTGAAAAAAGTGACATGACGAATTTTCACTCTTAATGTTTGTTATAGTGTTAAGTGTTAAGATCCTGGACTTTATATTAAAAAATTCCAAAGTTTACTCCTCTCTTATGAACACTGGTTGGGTGATTGAGACAGCCACTCTTTCAGCCCAATCTACCTCAGACGGATATGGGAATATAGGAGGCAAGAGTATTATGAAAACTGTCTGGAATAGTGCAATAAAGATGGGGTGTAAATATTAAGCAATTAAGAAAAAAATTAAACTTTAAGTATTTATATAGATCAAATTGCCAGTGCTGATACTGATAATGTTGTAAAAGCATTGGTTATAACCTTGATAAAACTGCTGATTTAATAATAAGTTTGGTTCATACTTCCTCATGAACTTGTTTTTATTTTTCATTCTTTTTCCTCATAGTGTCTTTGGTGCAGTCCAAATTCTACTTGTATGGATTATCCTGTAAACAAAATAATGCCGCCATCATCATTGTGTTCACTTACGAAGTCTTACTGGGCAATATGTTGGGGTATGTAATGTTGTATATATGTTAAATTAGGACAGGCCAGAACATAATTACAATGTCATTTTGGAAGAACATTCAGTTCAGTGTCTCCTGCAAGATGGGATCATTGTTAATTTAATTGGAAAAAAATTATGGCTATCAGTATTATGTAAAACACCATAGGACAGGGGTGTCAAACTCATGTTATCATGGCAGCATCACATTCCATATCGGGACTTTTTCCCCCTTCGCTAAACTGGGTGGGGGCGGGGCCAGCACATGATGTGTCCGGACCACAAGTTTGACACCCCTGCCATAGTGGGTCAACAAACACAGTTAAAAAAATAAAATATTAAAATTCTTTAACACATCATCAGTGCCATATCAGCATTGTCTTAAAAAACACTACATAGGTTTCCTATCTGCATCTGATGGAACAGCCAGATCTTAATGGCCTTTCAGAAGGCAAGAAGGATAAAAGTCTTCCATATTTCAAAGGAGGCTGTTCCATAGGGTAGATGCAGCTACAGAAAAAAATTGTTTTCTAAGATGTGCCAGGTACAATATTTAATAGTGGGTACCTGGAGCAAACTCACCCTAACCAATCTAATGAGATAAGCAGCTGTCCTGATGAAGAGATTGTCCCTTAAATAATCTGGTCCCATGCTATATGGGACTTTACAAGTAATAACAGCACTTTGAATTTCATGCAAGAGAAAATTGGGAACTGCATTCTGAACAAGCTAAATTCTATGTAGTTTTCAAGGCCAGCACTATGTAGAGCTCATTACAGTAATCCAAACAAAAATCATTGACCATGAAATAGCATCTCATGATCCAGAAATAGGCCCAATTGGCAGAGAAGATGAATTTTTTGCAAAGGTCCCCTTGGTTACAGCTGCCGCTGTTCCTCAAGTAGGAGCTACAATTCCAGGAGGATTCCCATATTGTACACTACCTTTTACTGAGTGAGTACCCTATCAGAAGTGGAAAAAAATCTTGAGAAAGATGCCTATCACCCTCTCAACAACTTTTCTAAAAAGGAAAGGTTGGTGATGGATGACTGTTGCCCAACAAAATAACGTCCAAAGAAGGCCTCTTGAAAAAGGAGTGAATTACCATCTCCTTTCCCACCGACATGCATTAACCTCTTGGACCTTATGTGCCTTTCCCAGGGGGTCAACAAAGATGACAGATGTCACAACACAGGAACTCTGTCTACTTCTTCAGGGTCAGTTAGCTAAAAGTCGACCCAGTAATGTAGCAGAACTATTTTTCCAGTCATTCCATTGGACCTGCACAACTGGAGTTCAACCCAAAGCAAATCCTAGAGACTTTACCCAAATAGATACTTAGAAGAATCCTCATAGCAGCCCTACAAGAGTTTCCCCAATCATTCCTTGTCAAGAAAATATCGCTCATCTAAAACAGCTGTTGCCTGAGTATCTGTCGATGCAGCAAAAGTGGAGAAATACACTCTCTTCACTGTTCTGATCATAAGGAAAACCGATTTTCCTTACGATCAGAAGATTTTCACCTGCATTTAACTATGTTTTTCTTCAGGGGTGCTCAAGAGATGGCTATATAATTTCCTATCTCATAGTATCTCTGCATGTCAGGGAGTTCTGTATTTTGTATGTGTGTTTCCACTCTCCTGTGTATCTACATGAACTTGAAGTACAGAGTGAGTTGTGTACCATATGCTCTGCACTGGATCATGTGACCAGGAATGTGACAAGCTTAAAATGGAACAGTCAGCATTGGGGTGCACCGAAGTTTATTTATCTCTGCAACCTTTGGCCTGATCCAGCTTGTTTCCAAACTCAGTCTTTCTTTTGCCAACTTCTTCCCATATCAGATCTGATCTAGTTCTGTTCTGTTTTCCAATTATCTTGCTATCAGATGGACAGACACAGATAGACTCCCAATCCTCCTTAAATAATTTTCTTCCACTTTCCATTCATTTAGAAAGATATAAAGGTTTCTCCATAAGTGAAAAGATAAAGACTGATCATGCAGCCTTGGTTCTCTGGAGTAGTTCCATCACAATGAATTCTATGTAACATTTATTGTTATATCAAAACACAGCCAAGAGAAGTTTTTTGGTATGAATGTGAAACATGAAGAGAGAATGTATTCAGTGCAGGAAAATAGTTTTGTAATGACTAAATGTGGAAAATGTGTCTGATATTTGATGCAATTCTTAGGATAATCTTAGGATTATCAGGAAGGAACCTTTTAAAGATGCCCTTGTAGTCTACCCTCCCCCCCGCTTTTTTTTTTTTTGCACAGACAAAAGAATCTTGTTCTGTATTCATCCCAGCTATGGAGCATGCCCTCTAATGTTTTTGACCCCAGTATAAATTTTTAGAAATTTGTAAGGATGCATTGCTTTTATTTCGCTTTCAAATGTTAATATGATTTTACTTTTTGTTAATATTTTTAAATTATATTTTACATTGTTATATTCAGTATTTGTCTATAATTTTGTTAACCACCTTGAAGGCTCTCCATAATAGAAAAATTGGCTGTAAATTGGATTTTACAAAAGACAAATATTGTTAAATCTATAAACGACTGTTTTATAAAAGAGGTAGTGCATTTTGTAACTACATGATATTTGTCTGGTTCATGCACTATGTTTCCCAATAGAATGGTTTGTTTTCAGCTTGGTGTGATATGCAGATTGTTCCACTCTAAATAAACTTTTTTCTTGGGATGTTCTGTGATAAGCTAAAGACAAACAAATCATGATATGGCATAGCATTAAGTATTAATGGGATCATTGTCTCAACAATGATTCCATTGATTACATAGTCTTTTTCATTTTTGTATCTCATGACATCTTCCTATTAATGTGAAATAGATGATAAATGAACACACACTGTACTGATATATGGATTATGAAAAGTGGATGACTGAACAGTCATAAATTAAACTATCTAAATTTAGCAAATAGATATTGCAGTGATAGATCACCCTTACCAGACAGGTACATAATAGTGCTTAATAAGAATGTGCCTGTAAGTATAATGGACATAAATCACTTTTTTCCCATGACAAACTCTTCTAATAGCTACCTTTTTTGTTTAACCTTTTCTAACATTTTTTTACTTCTGATTTTCAGCAAGTTTGGAAGCAATCGTCATTGCTATAGGTGTTGTAGTAGGTATCATTCTGGTGTTTATAATTTGTTGCTGCTGTTATTGCTGCCGCAGATGTCGCAGATGTCGCCGGAGGTTTGAAAGGTACACACATTTTTCTAAATAGATTTTCTTGATTATTTTTTCCTTCTGAGGAGAGAACTTTTGCGGTTTTTAGCACATTTTTTTCTTAAGGATCCAACTGTAGGTAAATCATAATGCTATCATTATAAACAATATTAGATTGTTTAGAGACATTTTAGGGAAGTTGATTGGGATTAGAACACATGCAGCAAAGGTTATTTATTCTTATTGTTTGATAGAGAAAATCCCTTCTTCTCTAACCTTTACCACAGCTTTATAGACAAAGTTGGGGTAAAAAACAATGTTGAATATGTAAAAACTGTAAGGACTAAAAATTCAAAGTTTTCATCTTAATCAAATTCCTGCTTTGTCATCAAATGCCTATGACTATTTTGTAGCTAATTTGATTCGAACAAGCAAATTCAATGAGGGAAGCCAGATTTGCTTAACAATTCACTTAACTGTGGCAAAAGAGATCATAAAATGGGGCCAAACTCACTTAACAACTATCTTGCTTACCGAGTGGAGCAAGTGGCCAGTTTTAAGTTTCTGGGTGTTACCGTAAAAGACGACCTGACCTGGGGTGCTCACATTGCAGCCCTGGTCAGAAGGGCCCAGCAGAGATTATACTACCTGAGACTTCTCAGAAAACAACAACTGAATGAAAAACTACTGGTGACCTTCTACCGCTGCCCATAGAGAGTATCTTAACTTACTGCACCTCTGTATGGTTTGCCAATTGCACAGTGGCAGATAGACAGCACTCCAGAGGGTTAACGTCATTGCCCAGAAGATCATTGGTTGCCCTCTCCCCTCTTTGGAAGAGCTTTATAGCTCCTGCTGCCTTAAGAAAGTTCAAAACATTCTCAGAGATCCATGTCGTTGTGGGTGCTTTTTTTTGAAACTATCACCATCTGGCAGATGGTACAGAATAATAAAAACAAGGACAAATATAGGCTGAAAAACAGCTTCTATCCCAGGGCAGTAGCTCTGTTGAATTCTACTGTATGGTGCAGTGTTGGTGTGCTATCGGGGTTTTCAATTCAGTGTGTGGAATGCGAAGGATGTGTGTTTCTTTATTTTCATGGTCACAATGTGCACTGAAAATGGTGTTCAATTTCGTTGTACAAGGTGCAGTGAGAATAAAGTAAAGTAACTAACTTAGCAACAGAAATTTTGGGCTCAATTGTGGTTGTAAATCAAGGACTATAATCCTATTTACACGCTAGAAAGAAAAAAATAAAAAACAATTAGGGAAAACTATGAGCAAGGGAATAGCATCTTGAATAACTACCATCTTGCATTCTCATTGAAAATGCAACAAATACAATGAAATATTATTAGACCTGAGCTCTAGGTATGATGGATTATATTACACGTATAGAGTTTTCTTTTAGCATCTTCCAGGCTTTCCCTACCTGAATAATTTTTAAAGAGTCTTTATATATAATGTTCACCCCACTCACAATTAAGTGAAAAATTGGGATGCTATAAAACTTTTACTAACATTGTTATGACCAATATGTTATTACCATATCTGTGGAGCCTTTCCGGACCTCACAGGAATTTTAGAAAATAAAATATGTGGTTGGATCTGCCCAACAATAACTTAAAAATGTAAAAATGGGATTTATGATTGCATAACCTTACCACATTTGATTTATCTATGACAAGTTTTAAAGCTGTGACTAATATTTATATTTGGCAGATGCTGTATATTAGATATTGTGTGGAGCATTTTCTTCTTTGTTCCAAATGCATGCAAGATGAAGCATACTTATAAAGTAAATATGACACTGGGTGGTTTACAACAAAATTAAAAAAAATCACAACAACACTGTGCCAGAATATTAAAACTGATCATAGCATGGGATATTAAGCCTTAGTAGAATGTCGATGGCCATAGTATATCCTAGAGAAGACAAATTTAACTTTTTCCATTTAAAAAAAGAAAATCTGCTGTTCCCATTTTCCAGAACTTTGAATATTTTTTACAGAACATTTTTTGTCAAATAAATCCACAGGTGTGTAATTTTTTTGATAGTGATATTAAACCCCATTACTTGGTACATATATTATTTCCCAGGCCTTGTTGGTTTAAATTAAATAGACTAAATCTGATATGTCCTTGAATTTTCAGGCTATAGGAGGTAGAATACATATACAGTGATGAGTTATCCCCTCTCCCTATCAGTTAAGCTGTGAAAATACCTTATGCATTAATCAGTTTTTTAAAAGCTTCCTGAATGGATCTCTCAAGATGGACTCTGGTAGCACTTAGATTACAGATAGTCCTCGGCTTACAATAATTCATTTAGTGACTGATTGAAGCTGCAATATCACTGAAAAAAGTGACATGACCATTTCAGCATCCTGATTGTCACGTGATCAAAACTCACATGGTTGGCAACTGACTCATATTTATAACTTGCAGTGTCCTGGGTCATGTTACCACCTTTTGCCATCTCTGACAAGCAAAAGCAATGGGAAAGTCTGATTCACTTAACAACCATAAATTACTAACTTAACTCCAGTGATTCACTTAACAACTGTAGCAAGAAAGGTTGTAAAATGGGGTAAAACTCATTTAACAAATATCTCACTTAGCAACAGAAATTTTGGACTCAGTCGGGGTCATAAGTCGAGGACTGCCTGTACTCATTCAATTGCCCTTATATGGAGGTTGGCCCTAAAGAAAAAAAAAACATGTAACCTACAGGTGTTGATTGACAACTATTCAGTAACTGTTTGGTGCTGAAAAAACAGTATTTATGACTAGATGTCAAAGTTTTGGCCATCCCAGCATCCCAGTGTGATCACAATCTGGGGAATTGGCAACTGGTTCACACTTAAAATAGTTGTTGCATTCTTTAACCATGTGATTGCCATTTCCAATCTCCTTTTCTGGCTCCCCACAGTCAAAATCAATGGGGCAGCCAGTTGGGGAAATCGCAGCACGCTCTTTCTAGCATGCACTTATGCAGCACAGCAGCCCCCCCTCCATATCCCACATACACTCACCACAAACCTCCCGCCTTGCTTGATAGTACTCATTTGCCTGCCTATTTGTAAACCACCAAAACCTTGTGACTTCCTGCTGGCTTCCCCATTCACTTTCTCGGAAGCTAGCAGGAAGCTGCAAGTCATGTCACATGAATTCTAGCTTAACAATCCATGATCCTCGCTTAACAACAACAAGAAGGTAGTGATTAATGTCACTAAGTGATGCAGTCACATGCCGTGGTTCTTTATGACTCTGTCGCTTGATGGAAATTCCAGTCCCTATTGGTATTGTAAACTTTACATACAATATTAAATACAAACTTGTTGAGAAAACTAATCTTTAAACTACACTTACATACCAATAAACCACGTCAAATGTCCTGTAGATCATTTTTATTAAATGTATAAATTAATGACATTTAATCTTTTACATAAAGTGTCCACTGGATGTCAGTATTCTTTCTTGAAATGGTCAAAGTATTGTAGTAGTAAATGAAATGTCCTATTTTGTCTAACAAATCAAAAGTTAATAGCTAAGAAATATTTATTTTTCTATTGATCCTTTTTCACACTTGTTTTTCCATGTGAATTGAAAGTAGAGAATGGTCACTATTTCTACTTAATAAAAAAATAAATTCGGTAATACTTGCTGGATTCATTATTCAGTTTGCCATTTCAGGTATCCTGACAAATCATCCATTTTGAATGTATGAGAGAATATAAGATGAGGTTCATTTTTATATAAAACAAATCACTTTACTATATCTAGAGTACATTAAATCTGAATTTAATCAGTTTAAGTTTAATTTAATTTAAGAATTGAATTAAAATTTTAGGATGAAATGTGAATTTAGTAGCATTTCATAATGTGGGATTGAGATACACCTGATCAGTAAAGTCAGTAAAGCATGCCCCCTTTACATATTACTTCTGATTAGCTTGCAGTTTGTAAAGGGGCATGCTTTGAGGCTGTAAAATTAAAAATGTTATAAGTTCTGTAATTTAATGCCACCTGACATATAGTTGTTCTGAAATGTTCACAAATTTTTTCTCATTTCAGGAGAGTAACCAGTGAAGAAGAAGAAACATTTATTGGAGATCAGGAAGAAAAACGACTGCAATATGCTCAGCGGTAAGTTTGGAAATTTTTGCTATCTTAGCCAATCTTAAGTATTTGGCTACAGAAATATTATTAGGTTGCAGAAACAGAAAAGGAATCCTGATGCCTTTCAGCCTGTCTTTAGTGAAAGGCTTTGAGCTTCAAAATAGTTTTTTGGCTTGCTGCAAGCAAGGATCCAAGTTTATTGCTGGTCACAAGGAGAAGTGTGGCAGGAAATAAATTGCTATTCATTGGTTGAAATGGGCTATTCATTGGTTGAAATTCTGCCAATATCTCTGCCATAGTACTGCTTTTTATAGGTAGTCCTTGAGTTACAACTAATTATTTAACAAGCTTTTAAAGTGACTATGAAAAAAGTGACTTTGACTGTTGTCTCAGAATCCCTGTGGTCATGTATCAAAATTTGGGCCCTTGGCAACCAGCATGTATGATAGTTGCTGCATGTCACATGATCACTATTTTTAACCAGCAAAGGTTTTCAAAATGAATGGAAAAAGCCAGGTTTTGTTTAATGACTGCATGGTTTGCCTAACCACCACAGTGATTAGTTTAATGAGTGCCTTGCTTAGCAAAAAAAGTTCTGGTCCCAACTGTGGTCGTAAGTCAAGAAATACTCTCTGTATTCTGCCGGAATTCAGTTCTGTATAAAAAGTAAGGAAAAATAAAAAAAATTATGTGTATGCATTGCAGAGATTGCACTGGTTGACTAGGATTGATCAGATGCACAGCAAAAACTCTATTTACTACTTTTCATATTTTTCTGCCATTTACCTCCCTCGCAAATAGTCAATGCCTGGGTATTTACAAGATACCTTTTCTGTTGCAAACCTTTGCAGCCATTCCTATCTGTCAGAGGGGAATGCCCAATTGTTTGGAAATGCCCAATTGTTAATCTGGAATGAAGAATAAAACCTCTTCTATTGCTTGTGGGCTATGGAACAAACTCCCTTGGAAGTTAAACATTGCTTCCTTCTTTCCACATATAGAAAAATTGAAAAGAGACAGCTCTTTCATTAAGCTTTTAATTATTAATTGAGCATGTTAACAATTGTAGTTTTTAAGAATTTTTTTAAAATTTTGGTAGCCACACTGAAAATATGGTAGAAATCCAGTATAGAACTCCAATATAGAAATCAAATAAATACATTCTTAAAATACATGCCTTATCTAGGGGCTTCAATATTGTACAGTTTTAAAAAACTCATGTACATAAGAATCACAGACAAATATACATAAAGTCTAGTGAAATATAATTCATTTTTAAACAAAGTTGCAGAAATGTCCATTGGCTTTACAGAACAAGAGCCATCTGGATAAGCATTTTGTCTCCCTGATAATATTTAAAATGATAGAGAGACCTTCACATGAAGGCTTGATGTGGAGTGGAACAAGTGGCCAGTTTTTAAGTTTCTGGGTGTTACCATAAAAGAGGACCTGACCTGGGGTGCTCACATTGCAGCACTGGTCAAAAGGGCCCAGCAGAGATTATACTACCTGAGACTTCTCAGAAAACAACAACTGAATGAAAAACTGCTTGTGACCTTCTACCGCTGCCCATAAAGAGTATCTTAACCTACTGTACCTCTGTATGGTTTGCCAATTGCACAGTGGCACATAGGACAGCACTCCAGAGGGTTAACATAATTGCCCAGAAGATCATTGGTTGCCCTCTCCCCTCTTTGGAAGAGCTTTATAGCTCCTGCTGCCTTAAGAAAGTTCAAAACATTCTCAAAGATCCATCTCATCTGGCCATCCTTTTTTTGAACTATTACCATTTGGCAGACGGTACAGAATAATAAAAACAAGCACAAATAGGCTGAAAAACAGCTTCAATCCCAGGGCAGTAGCTCTTTTGAATTCTGCTGTATAGTGCAGTGTTGGAGGTTTCTGGTTCAATGTGTGAAGGGTGAAGGATGTGTGTTTGTGTTTATGGTCATGATGTGCACTGAAGATGGTGTTTGATTTTGTTGCACGAGGTGCAATGACAATAAAGTAAACTAAACTAAATGGGAACTCTTACTCACTTTTCCAAGAGACTGTTAAAATAACAAATAAAATGCCTACTTATGAAGGCATTAAAAAAGCTAACTGAACCCAATCAAAGAAGGGACAAGCTTAAGGATAGGTTTAGGTTTATTCCAAATGAAGTGAAGCCCATTAGGATGTAAATGGAAAGAAGAAAAATTTGAGAAACCATGTCTTTTTGGAACTAAAAATGAATAAAATCTCCAGAGGCAATAATGCCTTGTTTCTTTCTATATATTTCCATCACTAATCATATATTGGCTGTTGTGTGACATATTTCTTTCTGAAGGATGAATTGCTTCCTTAATTCAGCATCTTACCTTCTACTTTTTAACTCTACAGCTGCAATAGATAGAGAAGAGAGATCCAAGAAGTGCGTGTTTGTGTAAAATTAAACATTTACTATCTTTATTTTGAAATTATTTAATAACCAGTACTTTAAATTTTATCTTAACGTCCACTTGTAGCCAAATAGGTGACATAGCAATGGTCTATATTAGGGTACCAAGAAATGCTTATGACTGCTGGCTGCTGCAATCTGGATTAGCTGTAAACTTCCAAAGGGTCTTCAAGAGCAGCGCATATACATTATGTTGCAGTAATCTAGGCAAGAGGTAAATTAGATTACAGGCAGTCCTCAACTTATGAGTACAATTGAGCCCAAAATTTCTGTCTCTAAGTGAATTTTTACTACCTTTTACTCCCTTTTTTGCCACAGTTGTTAAGTGAATCATTGCATTTGTTAAATTAGTAACATGGTTATTAAGTGAATCTGGTTTCCCCATTGACTTTGCTTGTCACAAGGTCGCAAAAGGTGGTGATAACATAATCCCAGGACACTGCAACTGTCATGAGTCAATTGCCAAGTGTCTGTTTTGATCATGTGACCATAGGGAATGTTGCAGTGGTCATAAAGTATAAGAAACGGTCATAAGTCACTTTTTAGGTGCTGTTGTAACTTTGAGTAATCACTAAATGAACTGTTGTAAGTTTGAGGACTACCTGTAGCCGCTCCATAGCAGTATCAATTTCAGTCTTCTTCTAAAATGCAAAATAATCTCCATTAGAAGTCAAAACAAGAATGCCTTGTATTTTCTTTTCACTGTCCACTTTCATAAATAGCAATGGCACTTAGACTTATAGACTGCTTCACAGCTCTCTTTGAGCAGTTTACAAATGTCAGCATCTTGCCCCCAACATTCTGGGTCCTCATTTTACCTACTCGGAAGGACAGAAAGCTAACTCAGCCGTGAGACAGTCAGGATTGAACTCTTGGCAATGGGTAGTTTGCCTGCAATACAGGTAATCCTCGATTTACTACCATAATGGAGCCAAACATTTGTGTTGTTAAGTGAGTTCTGCCCCATTTTACCTTTCTAGCTACATCTGTTAGTGAATAATTGCAGTTGTTAAGTTAGTAACATGATTATTAAATGTTCTGGCTTCCCCATTGACTTTGCTGGTCAGTAGGTCGAAAAAGCTGTTCATGTCATGTGACACTGCCACTGTCATAAATATGACCCAGTTGCTAAGTATCCAAATTTTGCATTACATGACCCTAGAGATGCTGTAACAGTTGTAAGTCTGAAAAATGGTCATAAGTCACTATTTTCAGTGCCGTTGCAACTTTGAATGGTCACTAAACAAACTGTTGTGAGCCAAGGACTACCTATACTACATTCTAACACTGCCATTATGGGTCAATAAAAGCCAACATTAGGCAAGTATTTATTCTCATGAAGTGGATCACAAGGTTGCTTTTTATAATCTTCAGAACAATAGCAGAAATTATTTACATTTTTTTATCTTAAATAAAAGTGCAATTATAATGTGGGGATTGCAGTCCAGAGATCAGTTAGATATAACTAAATTCAAGAAAGAATTTATGATGAATCTATCCAGTAAACCCTATGGGAATTAAACAGATATCACTGCTATTCTAAGTCAGAGGTATGGATGTCTTTTGGTTCCTCTTAAGCCAAACAAAATTTATTGTTGGCTTTGAGCTGTTTGTTTACAACAGATCTCTTGCAGTCCTTTCAATTTTAGCTACTGAGATTATCAGTCCCAGGGAAGTTCATTAAAAGGAGTTGATTGAAAACTAGGAAAAATATTCTGAAATATTCTGCTGTAGAAGGTAATACAGTATTATATTTACTGACATTTTCTTAATCTTCCTGTAAAGTGCCATAATTCAGAACTTAATTTGTTTTACCTTCAAAGAAAACTTTCATTTTACAAACCATTATATATGCTAAAATTTAAAGTTTGGTTGGTACTCATACCACATTCGTTATGTGTGCTCAATCATTGGAAATCAATACAGATAAAATTTGGAGGAGGGAAAACAACTTTGAACTGAGGATAGATTCAAATGCTGCAGAAGTATTTACAGATATGAAAATCACACTGCAATATCAGATATATTGTAACTTACTATATAGTTGATAATTGAACTTATGGATAGAAATGACTAGATGTAATCCATTTTCCCTAGTAATAGCTATGCAGAATATTATTAGTTAGCACTGGTTTGTCATTTTTATTTTACAATCATCATCTTAAGTATTCACTGTATTCTCTAATATGTTAATAATATTTGCAGGAGACATGAAAGAAGAGCGAAATATGATGAACTACGCAAAAAATATGGTATGTATAACATAATTTCCATCTGCAGCTTTTTATCTCAACAGTGTTTGTAAGCATGATATGTAAATTCTGTTTAGCAAGGAAAATGGCTGATTACTGGAACCTCTTATTTAATTTGTTCCTATATCATTAGTGTTTTGCAGTGCAATTTGTGAAATTGTGAGGTTAAGCAGTTTTCCTGCGTCATTAGACATTCTGCTTGTAAAGTGTTGGGCAGGTTTAACCAATATCTCTTCATGCATATCATTTAATGCCTGAATACAGTTTTCTAGTCCACGTTAACTGTTGAGGTTAAATGTTTGCCTTTGGCATAAGATTAATCCAATGTAGTACATTCAAAATTTTGACCGCATTCACATATCACATATAATTAGCATGATATATAATCAGTTAATGTGTAATTGGTTTTAGGACAATGAAACACAATTTAAAAAAAATAGATTGATGTATTTGTATGTTTTCACTAGTAAGCGCCATACCATGGGTTAATATAAAGCCATGCTTTGCATGCATGCAAAAATATCCAATTTTGTCTTGTTTGGTGCATTTTTTAAAAAATGAAGGGCAAGCTTTGAATACTAACACCAAAAGGTTGGTTAGCTATTTTAATGCTTCAGGCCTATTTAATTGTGAATGTGTCAGTTGCTTGGTATGGAAAAAAATAGAAATAAAGAAATAAATATTATTGACCCATCAGTGGCATATACAACCCAGCTATTAAAAGCATAAGGAACAGTTTACCATAAATTAAAATAAGTGACTTGTGTTTCACCTGGATACAGAAGAATAAAATAAGCAGTTGCTTACTCTATTTTGCAAAAGGAATTCTCTCTCATATATATGCATGAATGCATAATAGAAGGGAAATAATTGCTAACACATTTCTAAATTAAGATGACTGCAGACTTGTTTTGTTAGGGGGAAAAATCATTCTCCCTCCACCACCCCCTTTTTAACTTCTTTCTCCATTTAAATGGTAATTATACATTGATAATGCATTCCATGTGTCCCTCACTCTGGCTGTGGTCCTTTGGGGGGTGGGGGGAAAGAATGCAGCAGCACTTCGAAAGTGGACTGCTCCACATGAGTGGTTTCTTTGTGCAAGGATTTGTCAGTCTTTTTCCCATATATTCTTGAATGAATATACTTTGCCCAAATTCTACTTTCATTGCTAAATGAAACTAAGGATTTGGGTTTTTTAGAAATATATTTGTATTCTTGTACATTCCAGAAGAAAAATGCAATGTTTTCCATAATTTTCTTTAGACTGAAAACTTGTTACAGAATAGAGTAAGCATCAATAGAAAGGAATGGAATATTAGCAGCTGACGGTTGATCAGTAAGGTCCCTGGTGCTCTGTGAGTTTTCTTGCAGATATTTCATCACCAAATTAGGTAATATCAGTACAACAACCAAGGTCAAAGAGTACCAAGGTCCCATGTGTTATTGATAGACTATGGTTCGGTTTTTACTCTCAAAAGCTACAATTTTCTCAATATTGTAGGAGTAAAAATCCCAAAATATTTGTGATGAGCCAGACTGGGAATGGATTCAAAGAAAACACTAGTACAGGTGGGCCTTATATTATGATGGCAACTGGGATAATGTGGTCATAAAGCAGAATAATATGTGGCCACACTGCTTAATAATGGCAATCCCTGCCCCCACTTAGCCATTGCTAAGTGAAGACCATGGGTCATTAGGTGAGCATTTCCTTCCTGCCAGGTTTCAACAACCCAAAGCAATGGGAAAGCCCGCAGGAAATCCCAGGTGACTTTGAAGTAGGCTGGGAGGCAGGTAAGTGGCTGCTGTTGAGGGTGCACAAGTGGTGAGGGAGACATACAATCTCAACAAGGCTTGGTAACAGTCTGTAAATGGCTGGAGAGGTTGCACAAGTAGCTGAGGAGGCACGGTGTGAGGTTCAGGAGGGTGCACAAAGGTGTACAGGGGGCACATGGTGTGCAGGGGGCCTTGAAGTGGGTGCATGGGTGGGAGAAACTTATCCAAATAGATTTTGACCTTCTCTGCCAGCTTCCCCATTGACTTTACTTAGAAAGATTGCAAATTGCAGTCACATGACTACAGGGTACTGCAACCATTGTAAGTGCAAGCCTGTTGCATAGATTGTGATCATTTGACTATGGGGGTTCTAGGATGGCCTGAAATTCAAAGAACATTGGTAAGCACCAATAATCCAGCATAATTTTAACTTCAAGCAGCCATGAACAAGTTAACCAAGTAACTACCAATACATTAGGTGTTTCCCATTTCCTATTATCTCCCCTGAAAATGATTTGGAAACACACCATGTAATGACATAACACAAGTTGAAGGGATATTATCATAACAGGGCAGACCAAACTGACATGAGTTTGTTGTTTTTAATAACAACCTCATATTTGTAGAGAATTCCCTTAATCATTAATTCTGTCTTTTCTGTGGAAGTTTCCCCTTTCTAGAGTTGTTTATAATTGTATGCATTCTATCATGAATGTAATATTTTCAATAGTCTTGTATTTTTTTTAAATTATGCAATGTATAATGAGGCATAGGAATAGGATATCATATTTGATATTATACACGTATGTCTGCATTTGCAAATATGAACATTAGAATGAAGTTTACAGCATGAATATTCACTACAATTATCTCTGCAACTTACTGATTAAAATCTTGTTCGTCCTTGACATTAAAGATAGGACTTAGTGCAACAGAAGCACTCCATAAATGCCCTTCCTGCATTGTGTTATGATTGCCCTTTAAACTGTATTGATACTGCCATTGTCCCACTTATCCTGCAATGCCATAAATTGTTATGTAAGCACCATATGCCAATCTCAATTGCTCATTTAACTGGTGAGCAATTTGGTTAGTTATATACACAGGGAAACTTCTTCCTGTCTGGGAAGCACTCTGCCTTGATTAAAATTTTTGATGGATGATGAATGACTTACGCTTTGGATTAACTTGAAGGATGGTTTGAAGGCTTCTAGACTTTAATTGGGATTAGGATTTAGCATTTTTTTACAGTTTAATGCACAGATGCCCATTTTTTTTATTCCACGGAACTTAAGCTAAACTACACTTAGTAGGAACTAAAAATCTGTCTATGAAAATATCCTTTGAGATGCTAGACATATTTCTAGTAGTCAGTTTTTCTATTTTGAATAGAAAATTAATTTTATGTATTATGACAAATCCTTTTAAGTGGGATAAATTTGTACAGTAAAAATCAGTATGTCTCTGTTACTGGGCATTACTGAATTATAGTAACCTCATTTCTATTTCATTTATTTTTTTATTCAACTTATAACCCTCAAATAATTTTAGGCAATGTACAGCATCATGAAATAAAACGAGAGTAAACAAAAGTCAAAACTGTAGTGTTATCTTGGGGATAGGGATGGTAACAGCTAAAGAATAAAATCCTGGTTTCTGCTCAGGGTCCCAAATCAATTGTTCCAGAGCCAGTGGAAAGAACCTCAGTGGCGGACTTTCCTAAATAACATCAGGTTAGGACTGTGTGGACCTCAGGAGATAGAACACTATCCAATAGGGCAGATATGGACACTGAAAAACATATCTCCAAACCCCCATGAGATTAGTGTTAAATGATGGCATAGAACAGGCCCACATTATTAGTTCTAATAAAGTGGACAGACATAACAGTAGAGGAGTAGCTCCCACAGATAAGCAGGCCCAAAACTGTGAAAGGCTTCATAGAAAGTGATCAGCACCTTGAACTTTTGCCCAGAAGCCTATTGACAGTTAGTGCAGCTGAACCAAAGTGACTTCAGAACCATTTATTCTAATGCATTCTTTACCAAGCGTAGCTTATGGTTTTCAAAAACAGCCCTACACATAGTTCATTGCAAATATTCAACCGTAAAGCATAATTATTTAATTATTAATAATTATGCATAAAGGATAAGAAGCCTCTGTGGCGCAGTGGTTAGGGTGCAGTACTGCAAGCTACTTCTGCAGCCAGCTGCCTACAATTTAGCAGTTCAAATCTCATCAGGCTCAAGGTTGACTCAGCCTTCCATCCTTCCGAGGTGAGTAAAATGAGGACCCAAATTGTTGGGAGCAATATGCTGACTCTGTAAACTGCTTAGAGAGGGCTGTGAAGCACTATAAAGCGGTATATAAGTCTAAGTGCTGTTGCTATTGTTATAAGTGACCAGGAAGAGGACCTTCCAATCTGCTAAAGACGGACATTTGATGCACAAAATGGATCTATAGAAAAACGCTTCTGACTAGAGCTGCTAACTGCTCCTTGAGCAAGAGTCAAGTCTAGGAAAAGTCCCACCTGTACAGCAGCAGCAGTTCTATCTGGGAAACTGCAATTCCATCAATATGTAAAGTTAGATAGTTTCTGGAAATGGGGAACCCTTGAATTTTCTGTCACTTAGTCTAGCTAGGGTTGAGCCCAGGTTTGTTTTTCTCCTTTCAGTCATTAACAAGAAGGCACAGAGGCAGGAATTTCATAGTATCTCATGGTTATCCTGGCTTCAAGATGATGGGATAACCTCTGCATATGGATGAAACCTGACTTGGTGCTTGCAATTGTAGAAATAATATATGAGGAGAGCATCAAGATACAAGAAGCCTTACAAACAAAGAGTCTTGGGATAGATTTCTTCTTCCACCATCTGGAAATGACCTGGAGAAAGGAGGAGATCCACTGCAAGATAGTGTTGCCACATCCAGTTATAAAGATGTGCCAGAAGAATACCACAATATCAGAGGTCACACAGATCAACCAAGCCTTGGAGAGTTAAACTCCCTTTATCTCAGTGCTAAGAGAGGCTGTCAACCAGCACTTTCTGTTTGCGGTTATGACTAAAAATACCCCTTGTTTTATATTCATACAGAAATTGGGATGTTCCATTCTTAATAGTTATTAGCCACCATGTTCAGCAAAGGACAATTCTGTAATCTCTACCTTAATAATTTCTTGTAATTTTATCTTTTAGGTCTGCTCCAGGATTCCGACCATCCCTATAGTAGATATGAAAATGAATGAAAAAATAGTACTGCTGCCTTAAAACGAAACATTGTTTTCATTGCACCAAATTTGTACATAAATATTCGGTAGAACTTAATGTTTATTTTGATTTTTTTTTCCTCCTCTTTTTGGAAACAACAGTATTATATTTGCATCTAATGATTCTAGTAAAAAATTACTTGGGTTTCTTTTCCCCCTACAAAAAAAAAAACTAAAAACTAGAGGAGTGCAAGTTTGAGATAGAAAACCCATTTACTTTTTCTTAAACTTCACAGACTTCGGAGGTGGGGGTTGGAGAAACAATACTGTCATCTTTTCCATGCTGCTAAATAAAGAGGCTCTTTAAATCTGTGTCAAGTAGGTGTTGGCAAGTATTTGACACTGCAGAGGTGAGGTATCACATAATCATAGCTTACACCATCTTCATGTTAATAGAATGCAAAGGGTGTAAGCGAAAGAAGCTATCACTAAGCAATGGCCTTAACTGAAGGAATGTGATCTGGTGTTATTGGCTAGCTGGTACCTTCAGCACCATCCGATTCTTGAATATGGCCTCTTAATGACAGCAGCCTGCCACAGTGTCTCGTGCTAAACTTCTTGAAACCGGCTTTTTCAACTCTTTAAACATCTTGATTGCACTGGGTTATATCGTTCCTGATCCTTTGTACTTAAGGAGAGACCAACGAAGTGAACACTTGACTTAAAAAAAAAATTAAAAAGATGGTAAAAACCTGCAGTATTATGTCAAAAATCTGCTAGCTATTTATGCATGTGTTAACAGTTTTCCTTTGATCTCTGTACATTCATAGATTGTGTTGAAAAGTCGTCTTGATTCATTCCTCAAGCAATTATCTTTCTAATGTACAAGAATTATCCATTTACCTTTTCTAATGTACAAACCTTTTTGTATATATTTCTGTCTGTATATAATCATTCCTAACATCTATCAGAGAAGATATTTCCAATGTATTGTTACTGTATACTTAAAATAGAACCACTAAACAGTGGCTGTTTCAGTGCACTGTGCTTCAGATTTGAAGAGAAGATAATGCTTTGAAGCTCATGGATGTTCCTCTTCAGGGCTTTTCAGACCAACTGTGTATTTTGTGTGGATCATGTACATAACCTTCACAGCTGTACCAGCATCCCAAGGTCAATCTCTGCTTTTAGCAACAGTTCAGTTGGTAGGGACATATGCATCCATGTACACTCAAAAGTACATTTTTCTTTTTACATTCATAGCACAGCATAGCTGCTTTATTTAGATATCCATAGTTAAAACTGTTTTTCTTCTTAAGCAGGGAAGAAAGATGATCTAATAAAGATTAAAATTGCTTCATAGTAAACATTGCATAGCAATTTGAAAATGGTGGAAAATAGGGTGCTTCAGTAGAATACTTTTCTTTTTCAGAAGAACTGAACAGCTATAACATTCTATTGTGGGTAAAATTCCTCCTTTGTATTTAACAAACCTACATGCTGAAGTTTCCTAAACAAAACTCTGAAAACTAGGACTCATTAATCTTTTATTCATCATGAAGATGTGAACAACAGTTTTCCCATATCAAATTTGCTTTGCAGAGTTGAATGGTTTTTAAGAAATAGTGTGAAAAGGGGGCATGTTGAGCCAAAGGAAGAACAGTCTTGTGTTAATTGAAGTCTTCACTCAATCAAATACAATGTAAGGCCATCAGTGAGATTTAACAGATCAATTGTGTATTTCCACCTGGATGCGACATCTTAAGCTAGAACAACAGACATTTACTACTTTACAAACTTTTTGAAACAGTTCAACATATCATCCCAAATTGTTTGTAAAGCCATTATTTCTCACCTTATTTAAACCAGATTTGTGATTTTTGAGGACTTGTAGTTTTGGATACTATTTCTGTAGTGAGTTCTCACTGGAGATATCTTGTGAAGGTGGAAGCTGCATGTGGAAATATATATTTTTATTTGATCTGAACAGTTAATTGGACTGCTAGCAACTTCTGTTAGGTATCTGATGGGTAAATATTTATTTGAGCTATTTTGTGAATGATTAATGTGAAAATGTAATTGCACCTTCTGCTTTTGAGTGCCATATTAGCCTTGCTGTTTAGTATTCCCCTTTTCTCTGGACAACCATCTATGTAGATTATCTCAGGATAATTGTAAATCCATCAAGGATCATGGAAATTTTGCATCAATAACTTTAAAAAGTTTCAAGATGTGTAAAGTTTAGGCTTTTGTATCTAGATATGATATGTGTACTACTGGAGGATATCTTTTTGTGTTTTGTAATTAACATGGAAATTGCATTAATTAAAAATGGTATATTGCATTATTATTTTGTTGGATTATCACTATAATGAATTAAGGATATGATTCTGCCTATCTTTACATGAAATCATTTAATTGAATCTTGAATTCTATTTTACCCATGAGAGAAGGAAAACCAAAACAACTCACAGCTAAAGGGGATTCTGCTGACAGAAATGCAGAAGTGACTGATTCCACTTTTAGAAACCTTTCATACTATCTCCCTCCTCATAGCGGTGTCCCCAATCATTGGGAACTCCACCCTTTCATCAGTTTTCAATTTTTTCCATGTTGGTGTAGAATGTAGAATCCTTTCAGAGAATGCCTAGATCCTGATCTAGGCAACTTTTAAGACCTGTGAACTTCAACTCCCAGAATTCTCCAGCCAGTTTGGAGACCTCTAGCCTAGATGAAGAAAACAGGCTATTTGGGAAAAGAACACAAATACACAGGTAGTCCTTAATTTACAGTTAATGACCATTTCAAATTATGACAAAATGGGTGCTTTATAACCCACAAAACATTTCTGGTCATTGTAAAATGTTGCAACAATCCTCTCATGGTCACATGACTGCATTTTGGGTGCTTGGCAATTGGCTTGCCGTTATGGGTTGTAGCATCCAATGATCATGTGACCCTGATTTGCCACATTTTTGCCAGTTTTGGCAACAACACCCATTTGGAAGAATGAATTCATACTAACAACTGGTATTTGCTTAAGGACTAGATTCACAGAGTAAAAAACAGCTTACATATTATCAAGCAATGTGAATACTATGTGTTTCAAGTTGTTACATAAGCTAATGTTTGCCTGGGGGAAGATGGAAATGTTGAATTTCCAAGTCAGACAAAAATAGCATGTGTGATTTAATTAAGGGCATAGTTTTGTCTCTTAATTTATCAACTGGGTTACAGCAGCTAAGATTTAATACATTGCAAAGATGGGGAAATGGTGATTTAGATTTTCTTAACATTTCTTTCAGAGTCTAATTTGTACAAGACAAACTAGCAATCAACTATGTAATATTGCTTTACTCATTCTTACTTTATATCTGATCCTTGCTGAGCAGCACATGAACAGCATGGGGTGACAGCTATTCTTGTGGACACTGTAAAAATTGTTTAGTACTATCTTCTAAGTAGTCCCTTCGGAACATACACAAAATGGTGATTTATAAGAATCACCATTGTATCTTAGACCCGTATATATAGTTGGAATGTGATGTTTGAGTTCTTTCCCAAAATTGGTAAAAAAAATAAAATTCAAATCACACAGTTGCCTGTGCCAGGTTCCCTAGGATTGGACAAGAAGCTTAAGAGCATTAATGACCAAAGGCAGCCATTTTCTGAAGTTCATGCCAATGTATAAACAGCCTTTTGAGGAGCCTTCTCCAAGTTTTTTTTTAATAAAAAAAAAACTTATTTAAGTTTTCACAAAACATACAAATACAAATAAAATGTCTTTTTTTGAGAACAGCGTGGCCCTGGGTTATCACTTCTCCATACAGACATAAACTCAATACATATTTATCTTATACATTCTAATCCATATCTTATAACTATTTTCACAATTTTTTCAATAGCTTTTCCCTTACTTTACTTCCTATAGCCTTATTTTAAATTATCTCATTCCTTTCTTAATTCAATTACATATCTTTTTCTAATTTTTAAAATCTTTCTTATCAATGTTTTTATACTTTTGTCTGTCCTGTTTACAATTTCATATTATGTTTTCACATAAAACAAATTTTCTCCTGTAATTACTAGACTGGAGTGTTGTAACACCTTTGTATCTTTTTTCAAATCTTATTTAAAAATTAAAGTTACATCTTTACAGATATAACATTCATTTTCTAACCTCTATTTTATAACACATACCTATTTTCAATCGAATTCTGCTTGGTACATTTCCTTAAAATACACACTAAATTCTTAAAAGAAAAAAGTATATATGTATATCTGTGTATATATGTATAACAATAGCAAATGGAATAATTATTCTATTCAAGTACAGCTCTGCCATTAATATTAATAACAGTCTTTTACATTTCTATTTCTTTTAACAAACATTACCTAGTAATATCAGTTGTCTTTCACTTTAATCATCTATATTTCATATTTTACTTATTACTGTCTTTAAATAAAAAAAAAACAATAGTTATTAACAGTAGTCAATAAAGTTTTTATTCTTATTCAAGTTCATCTTGTCAACTGATGAAAATCTTCCATGTTTCTTTTCAGTTTTTTTAAAATGTTCTTTTTAAATCAGAGAGTCTTATTCTCTTTACAAACAAATATTCCACTACACATCAATAGAATTTTTTTCTATCACTTTAATCATCTAACATATTTTCTAACCCTTTTCTATTTCTAATATAACAATGCTATCCCCTGCACCCTTGCAGAATCCTCTCAAGTTAAATTTTAACCATTGTCTCTGTGTCTTTTAAATAGGTTTATACCTTTAATTCTTGTACGTTTTCCTGTACCTCTATATCTTGTTTCCGTCTTTTGTAGCTTCTTTTCCTTTCCCTCTTCCCTCTCTTCTTCTCCCTCCCCTTTTTATTCCCTTTTCTGTCTAATTCTCCCTTCTGTGATCCTCCCTTCTGCTTCTTCCTGATATTATGATTACTTTTCAAATTACTCTTTTTTTTTTGGTTGTTGCTTCAGTGCTTAAGTTTTTAACTCCCTTTCCTCTCTTTCCCTTTACCCTGCTTAAAATTGCTTGGTCATTAAAGATGGCTTCTTTGTTGTCATGCCCTTCTTGTTCTGCCAGCATTTCTTGTTTTTCATAGTTCAAGATCTCCATTTCTAAAAATTGAAATACGAAGCCAAAAGATCCTCTTCCGTCTTGTGCTTCTTCTTTTTGTTCTTTAAGTCTCATTTTTAACTCTTCAAGGAGTGATGCCATTTTAAAGAAGTTTAAACAACCCCCAATTGATTTTATTTTATTTCATTAGGATCCTCCATCCAAAGTTCCAGGAATCATCCAATAATCCAAAACTGTTTCTTGCTTCTTTTCTCACTTTCTCTTTCCAGGGGCTTTGTTATCTTATAACAAACTTTCAGCTACAATGTATCTTTTGCAAGCCTTGTTAAAATTCCACTATCAATTTTTTTTTAAGTTCCAGGTGGTCTCCAACTCCAATATGCCAACTTCCTATTTTCACACATCCCCTTTTGTTTTGAAACATCTATGATCCTTGACTTACAACCATTCATTCCAATGACAGTTCAAAGTTACGATGATGAAGGGGCTGTACCCAATGTTATGGCCATTGCTGCATCTCCTCCCACAGTCAAGTGATTGCAATCTGGGCACTTGGCAACCTGTTTATACAGACCTCTCAATTTCTGAAGCCTCTTTGCTCTGCAGCTGAAAATCCAAGTGGTCCTGAGGCCTTTGTGTACAATCTCTCCGACCTTCCCATGCACTTCCTTGCTTCCTTCCCCACCAGTAGGGTGGGAGGCTTGCAATTTCCTGATGCTTCTCCACT